AGTAGTACTAAACTTTTAGTTTAGTAAGCTTAATATATAGCGATTATAATATAGTTTAAATTATAACAATCTATATAGTAATAGTTAAGAAACACTACCTTAAAAACATGCTAGAATTGTAGGTTTACGAGGTTCTGTAGGTCACGTGGGGCACACTTCTATCTAGCTCACATGCTTATCAAACACGTTAGAGCTTAACATCATCTATCTACCCCTCCAGAACTACATGGTGTTCGAGAGCTCTTTGCTCATACTATTTCCATTGCACAAAACTTACGACAGCAACAAACATGGCCCCGAGCAAAGAGTCAGAAGCACTGTCCGATCTGTTCAAGGTTATCGCATCCAAGTTCCCTCGAGACGGCGATCCTTTCCTCTCGCGAGCAGTATACGACAATGTCCACAAAGCAGCTGCAGAATGTCCAGGTGTAACATATGGAGATGAAGACGATGTAGCTGGTCGGCCAGCGCTATGGGTTCGCCCAATGGGAGCTACTCCGAACAAGGTGATTAGGACACTGACCATCGAAATGTTCGGCCATTCCTCTGACCGCCACAGGTCATGCTCTTCATGCACGGAGGCGGCTATTCCTTTGGAAGTCCCAATAGCCATCGCAAGCTCACAGCCCATCTGGCCAAGGCGTGCAACGTGAATGCATTGTCTATTGACTACAGAATGACGCCTGAGCATCCCTACCCGGCGCCACTTGACGACTGCGTCAATGCATACGAATGGCTTCTGGACAAGGGCTATGCACCAGACGGTATCGTCCTGGCTGGTGACTCCTGCGGTGGTGGACTCGTATCCGCCGTGCCTCTCGAAGCTCGCAAACGCGGTCTGCCTCTTCCCGGAGCATCCGTCGCCATGTCGCCTTGGTACGACCTCACTCTAGGCTCCGATTCTCTCGCGCGCAACAAGGAAAAGGATGTACTCGGCACGAAAGAATTCGTGAATATGCTCGCAGATCTTTACACGAATGGAAATCAAGAACTCCGAAAAGATCCTGTCCTCAGTCCTCTGTTTGGCGATTTGCAAGGACTCAACCCGCACTGGATCTCGGTCGCTGGTCATGACACTCTTTTAGACGACGGCATCAAGTTTGCAGAGAAAGCGAAGAAGGCTGGAGTGGAAGTGAATCTGGTTGAAGCTGAAGGACAGCAGCATGTGTTTGAATTCCTGGCCGGTAAGGCACCTGAAGCGGATGAGTCGATCAAGAATATTGGACAGTGGGTCAAGCAGAAGATTGGCTCGTGATTAGACGCCATGCAGCATCGCGCCAATAAACATTCCTCGGACTTGACTTCGCGACGCGCTTCCATTGACATATAGCGCAATGCCAAACAGATCGTATCGCATCAGCGAGAGTAGCACAAAAGCTTTCAAGTGCACTCGATCACTACCATAGGGGTAACCAACGTTCAAGTCTGTTTCGGTTCGGCAATGTCGCGTTTTCCCATCTTCCGCGAGGATATGTTGCGGGGAAGGTGAGGTCGCCACTCTTTCGTCCCGTGAGTATGGCGTGGAATGCAACTTGGTTCAGCCCTTTTGGACGCGCTGAGCGATCAACAGAGCGGAACTCGACATCAAGAACCAAAATGTTGCGCAAAGCACTGCTATATACTAACTGAGGAGAACGTCACGTAACGTGTCAGCACAGTGCATCGACGCGGGAGATGCTATGTTCGAAGTATTCGAAAGAACGACCGTTCTGGCAGCCATTGCCCGGGAAATGGGTGAACATTCCACGTCGGCTGGACTGTTGTTGGTGCATCCAATCTATGGGATCACCGATGTGCACAGCACATATCTCGCGACCGGCCACAGACGCTTATCTATGGCAGACACCCTCCCGGCGGTCCTCCTTCAGACACCTCGCACGATTTGACATTGAGCAGGCCCCGCTCGACCGCCACGATGCGCGGGAGACACTCGCTCTTCTTCCAGGCCTTCGCGCTCTTCATCCCCCATGGAGGCGCACAGTGGCTGAACACTTTCTCTTGCGTATGTTGGTCTTGCATCGCCCAAGGATCACAGCTGACTGAGATTGCAGCCTGCCAACAACAACACGTTCGTCACAGATAGTACGGGCGGAAACTATCGCATAACTTGTGGTGCCGACCCGAATCCCAATGGCGGCACCAATACCTTGGCTGTAGCGAGCTGGAATGAATGTTTCGACACATGTATGAGGAAGAATACTACACACTTCTTCATGGCTGACCGGACCGCGTAGGCACCTTGAATGCGACCTGCACTGCGTTCACATACCTTGGTGTCGCTCTAGGAAACGGACGCGGCACATGCAATTTCAAGGCCAGGTGGAACGGAGGAAACAACCTTCGAGACCGTAATTGGGACAACCGTTACATCGGCGCTGTCAGACAAGTCGTGAGCGCGCAAAACCCGACTTGCGTAAGCAGACTGCGTACCCAACAGTAACAGTAGCCGGGACATTGCTGATCGATCCTAGCCTGCTGTCGATGGAAGATATGTTACGGACGATACTGGCGCGCAGTATCTCGTGAGCTGTGGCGGTGATACGAGTCCAACTACGGCTATCTCTTCATCCTCGGTGCCGAACTTCAACGACTGTTTTATCAGCTGTATGTCGTCTTAAGATATGTCTCACCCACATGCTGACGAGACGGCATAGGTAGCAACAACCCCTCATGTGTTGCCTGGACCTACAGGGGAGGCGTCAACGGCCTCGGCACTGGAACTTGTTCCCTCAAAGCTAACCAACCAGGCGGGGCCCAATTCGTTCCAAGCACGAGTTCATACGTATCGGGCATCAGAGTCGCCCCTGTTCCTCCATCATCGAGCAACAACTTTGCCTGCGTAAGTGAAATCAAATCAATGCTTGCCCCTTGCTGACCGAATTCAGGCGTCAGGCAGCACGACGTATACGGATACTAACGGCGTCGCGTATGTCACCCGATGTGGAGATGAGACCTTGCCTTTCGCCGCTGTTTCCCAACAGCCCGGAAGCAATGCGAATGACTGTTGGGCCGCGTGTAAGTACGCAGACCGGTTTCTACTTCGCCGCTGACCAGCGCAGGTTCCAGTAACGCCGCTTGTACCGGCTGGACGTACCGACGTAACGATTTCGTGTCGACCACCGCTGGCGCGGGCACATGCTTCTACAAGGGCGCGAACACGGGCGGAACTGGCAACGGCTTCTATACACGCAACAACACGTTAATGATCTCCGCAATCAAGGCCGCCAACTACGACCCGGCCCAAAACGGTCCGCGCCCAAACAGCTTCAGTTGCGTAAGTGAATGCCTGGGAGCGATCGGGCCACTACTAATTGATCTCAGCCTGAAGTCGATGGAACGGTAGTTACAGATGTCGATGGCGGGCAGTATCGCATGAGATGTGGCTTCGACACAAATCCAAGCGACACTGCCTCGACTCTCTATATAACCACGTCGACCACTTTCAATGCGTGTTACCGCAGTTGTATGTCATGGGAAATTTGTTCCTCATAAGCCGCGTGCTAACAACAAGATATAGGTAGTTCCAATTCCACGTGCGGTGGCTTCACCTGGAATGCAATAACTACCACTGGACTCTGCTATTTCAAAGCCGCGCCCGTATTCCGGAGCGGCACCTACGATGCGAGATTAATATCTGCGATTAGGGCGACTCCAATTACTAATTTTACTTGCGTAAGTGTATGTCGTAGAGAAACTAGGTTGCTGCTAATCAATTTCAGCCTGCGGTCAATGGAACGGTAGTTACAGATCTCAATAATGTGCAGTATCGCATAAAATGCTACGACGACACGACTCCGACAGACCCTGCCTTGACTATCTATCAGACTTCTGCGACGAATTGGAATGAGTGTTTCGCCAGTTGTATGTAATAGAAAGTTCTTCCCAAAGCCGCGTACTAACAATGCAATATAGGTAGCGCCAATGCCACGTGCAGTGCCTTCAACTACAATGCCGGTACTAGCACCTGTTTTTACAAGACCGGACCAGCTGGATACCGCAATTTTAGGAATCCAAATCAGGATTTCGTGGCTGCCGTCAGGATCGTATCACAGAACAACTATACTTGCGTAAGTGCGCTCTGAACAGGATCCGAATTATGCTGACCCAGCTCAGTCCGCGGGTCAAAGAACACTTTACTCGGATGTCAGAGGAACCCTTTACATTACGAGTTGTGGTGATGATACAACCCCGCCGGATACTCTTTCCCAGCAAGTAGTCGGATATGGTGGTATTAACGACTGCTGGGATTCGTGTACGTACCCGAGTCCATTTTTTACAACGCCACTAACGAGCCTGCGCAGGTTCTACCAACACCGCGTGTGCTGGAATGACGTTCAATGGCAATTCTTACTCGAACGGTATCGGCGGGGGAACTTGCGTTTACAAGGGCTCGACCGCGAATGGAACCCCGAACAGCTTTGTGGCTGCTAACAACCCTCTGTTGGCTTCATCGCTCAAACTCGCCAGATACGCCCCTCTTACGTCCTCATACACCTGTCCAGCCCAACAAGACCTGAGTACCGTCACCGATGCAAACACTGGCTTGCCCTACGTTCTGCGCTGCGGCGGTGACACTGCTGGCACTGCATTCGCAACCTTCAATGCCACCTCCGGGTTCAACGACTGCATTACGCAGTGTACTGCCGATACTCGTTGTACCACTTGGACCTACACTGGCGCGACCAACGGCGCTGGGCCAGGAACATGCGCGCTGTAAGTCAGCTCTAGAACCACAACGAGCTCGAAGATGAACTGACGATGGCGAAGCAAATCGAGTAACTCAACAGGCTTTACCCCAGCAACAGGTGCTGGATCCCAAAACCGCGTCGCCGGAATTCAACAGCGCGCCTACGATGGCAGCAACGGCGCAATCGCGGCTACGACAGTCTTCCCGCCCGCGGCTACTCAAGTCGCCACACAGATCATTCTCGTCACTACGACGATTCTTCAGCCAGTGCCAACGACCATACTGTCTACAATCTCGCGACTGACCACTATTACATCGAGTGTGACAGTGACCGCCACGAATATCGCGACTTTACCTGGTATATATCACTGCCCTTGGACATTTCACCTCGTCTCTGCGTACTAATCTCTTCTTTAGATACTACACTGCGAGTCACTTCCGTGCAAGTGGTGCCTACAACCATCGCCACCATCCAGGCCATCACCATCACCGTCAGCACAATCACTACTCAGACAATCGTCACCGTGATCCCCACGACCATCGTGCAGACCCTCAGCGCAGCGACCACCAACCTTCTGGCTACTGGCATCAACACTGCAACGACCACATTGCGAGCCGTGGTAACCGTTACCCCAGTCCAGTCCGTTCAGCCAACGTACACGGTCACCGGCTAGTTGGAGAGCATTGTTCCTATCCTGGAGGATACTCACATCGAAGAAGGACTTTCCAGCGGAAAGTAAATGTTATGCGGAGAGGTTGGGGGCATGTTTCTGGACAGAATATGCGATTGATTGTTCAATTGGAGGAAGCCTGCGAGATAACGAGACTGTTACTTCTGCATTCACTACGTAGCGCTCAGATTGAAGACTTGGATTGATTCACGAACACGCACGATTATTCCTGGTAGTGTGCGACTAGCTATTGATCTGAGGCAACTGCCTGTGAAGTTCGCACGCGGTCAATTATTCATGGACAGCCCATCAATTGCAACTCCCGCCAGTTGTGTGGTGGGTAGTTAGCGAATCGGACCTTCCGCCGTCAGAATTACCGAGATCTCAAATCTTGGCAGCCCAATTCTCCAGACGTCTCTCCTCATCGTCCACCATCAAGCTTTCCCAATTCGCCGACACGCACACGACAGTGCCTCTGTACGGACACCATGATGGCACCACTGCGTTCAACAAGCTTTGAAGCCCAGCGCTATGGCCTCTGGAGAGTGCCGCAGGATGGAGGCAATCTCACACGCATGACGAGCCAGACTTCCCTTTGCGTTTCTCTTCCACATGTTCCAGTATCAAACAACATCGACAGAAATTATGACAGGACTACTTTCACTCAGCACGATCGACCATAACGACCTCGAAGAGCTCGCCGAGGCGTGCCAGGTCTCTACTAACGAAATAATAGATGTATACCATTGTACGCCCTTGCAACGAATACTCATTGCTGGAACGGAATGTTACAGTGACGCCTACTGCTATCGCGGGTCTTGGAAATTGCAGCCTTCAATTGACGCAATCCGCTTTCTTGATGCGATTGCGAGAGTCGCAGAGCAGAACTCCATCCTGAGAACGAGAATTGCAGACAGCTCAACGCATGGACTTGTGCAGGTCGTCTTACGCAATGCAGAGCCCATCGATCGCTCTTTTGACCAATTCGAGACATACCTTAAGCATGACAGCTCACGGCGACTGGGGCTGGGGACCCCTTTGGCGAAATGGGCTCTCGTCGACCGCACTGTAGCACTCACGATACATCATGCAGTTTGCGATTCTTCTTCAATCAAGGCGATACTCGAAGATTGCTCACGGATCTATCACGGACAGGCGCCAACAACTCGCGCTCCCTTTCGACAGTTTGCTGAGCACTGTGAAAATGTGGACGCACGAGCTGCTGAAGCTTTTTGGAAGCCGCGTTTCCCACACATGGCTGCTATATTTCCCGACGTCGCTACAAACTACACTCCTCGAACGACAAGTTCACTTCATCACTGCTGTCAGCTTCCGTCAGACAGCAAAACGCCCGCCAACCAGCTGCCTTATTACATCGAGGCTGCCTGGGCGCATACATCTTCGATATACACTGGCCAATCGGCAGTGGCATATGGACTGGTTTTGTCCGGCCGAACATCTCAACTGGGCATAATTGGTACCACTCTCGGTCCGACAATTGCTACCATACCGGTACAGGCGAACGTGAATCCGGAGTCGACGATCAGCGAGCTTGTCAAAGAACGTGCGAAAGAACGGCGGCAAGCTTTTTCCCATGCTGCACTACAATTCGATCCACTCCAAATTCGAGCACTGAATGCTGAGTCCAGACGCGCGTCACAGTTCACGACAATCCTCGATATCAACACATCGTCTCTCGCTGGGCCGGTCAACGATCATGTGCTCCTGAACGCCGAAAGCCAAGGAGTCTCATTATCAGCTCTTGTTCTGCAAATTTCCATTCAAGAGGGGACCATCATAGTCGATGCCAGCTATGATCCGTATATCATCTGTGAGCGCCAAGTAAGGCGGACGCTACATCAACTCGACCACAGTCTCCAACTATTTCTGGAAGGTCCAGCAGACCGCAAGCTCGAGGAACTTGCAACTATCAGCGCCGAGGATTGGAGGGAAGTGTTCGAATGGAATGAGACGTTGCCTCAACCGACTCAACAGTGTCTACATGAGCTTTTCCAGGATCGCGCACATCTTCACGCCAACAAGAGAGCGATTGAGGCCTGGGATCGCAACGCAACATACGAAGAATTGGACATGCTTTCTACAGAACTGGCCTTGCGGCTTATTGGCTCTGGCGTGAAGCCTGGGGATGCTGTGCTCATACATTGCGGACGATCTTGCTCCGCAGTCATCTCCATTCTTGCCGTCTTGAAAGCAGGAGGCTGCTGCATCCCGTTGGAGCCTACTGAGTCTCGAACGACGAAAGAGATCATCACTGCGCAATCAAAAGCCAAATTCATTATCGCATTGGATCCGTCAAAAGATATTCATGGACTCGTAGAGACAACGATTATGGCCCACGCAGCATCGCTCGACGAAGAGTGCGAGGTTCCTGGTCTCCCTTCGATTTCCGCTGATCAACTGGCATACGTTCTCTTTGATACTGGCTCAACTGGCGTACCGAAGGGCGTTATGCTCGAACATCAAAGCATAGCCACTTCTCTGCTCACACTTGGAGCTTTCCTCAAGTGGAGACCTAACATCAGAGGTCTGCAATTCGCCTCGCTCAGATGCAACGCTTTTCTGGTAGAGATGCTGGGGCCACTGCTTTTCGGAGGTTGCGTTTGCATACCTTCGATCGAAGAGCGCGACACAAAGCTCCCCGCATACATCATATCGAAGCAAGTAAATTATGCACAGCTGACCCCATCAGTGCTGCGCTCGCTATCGCCCGAGGCTTGTCCTACATTGAAGACCATTCAATCGATTGGCGAGGCAATCGACGCCAAGGCTGCCGGCATATGGAGTGATGTAACTTTTGTCAATGGCTGGGGCGCGAACGAAGCTTCGATGCAAAGTTCTCTCAACATAATCTCACCAGAGAGCCATTATCCTCACGCTATCGGTCGTCCTTCAGGCTGCGCTCTGTGGCTCATCGACCCAGAGAATGTACACAAATTGACATCAATCGGAGCTATTGGTGAGCTCGTCATCGAAGGAACGACTGTGGCCAGAGGTCATCTGAACGAGGACGCGGAACACGTCGAATCGTTCATTAGCCCACCTGTATGGGCCCCGCTACGAACTGCGAAGAGGCGATTCTATCGCACTGGCGATCTGGCACGCTTCCTACCTGATGGTAAAATCGAATATGTTGGCTGTAAGGACAATCAAGTCAAGATTCGAGGCCAGCGTTTCCAACTTGAAGAGGTCGAACGTGCTATCCTCAGCTGTGATGCCGTGCGTGAGGCCGTGGTTGCCTTGCACAAGGTCGGCAATCACAAATATTTGGTGGCGGTTCTGAGCTTGGAAGATGGGTCCTTACCAAGTGAAGAAGAACTGAAAGAACTGGACTGCGACGCCAGCAGAAAGACTCTTGTGGCAATTCGAGTGCACGTCAAACAGAACTTGCCAACACATATGCTTCCCAAATACTGGATTGCAGTTGAGAAGTCGCCATTGACTACGGATCCGAAAAGGGATCGAAATGCCATCAAAAATTGGCTGGAGAGTCGAGACCTGACTTCTGATGATTTGGCTGTCTCGCACGAGTCTCCTTCTGTGAATGTGCCATATTCGAATGCTGAGAGGGCACTGCAAGAAGTCTGTGCTTCTGTCCTCAGGGTGCAGACTTCTCAGATCGACTTGCAACACTCTTTCGACGACATGGGAGGCAACTCGATCAGTGCAATTCAAATTGCCCAACGCTTGATGAGACGCGGGCATCGAATTACGATAGCCAACTTGCTGGAAAGCTCGAGCTTGTTGGACCTGGTCCGTGACATCGGAAGTGCGGAGCAAATGACGGGTGTGCACGAAGAGCGGCTCGAAGAGGAGGAGTTCGACATCAGCCCGTTCCAAAAGCTCTTTCTGCAGCACAGCAACGAAGTGGCAGGCAGTAGCTTTCGTGAAAATTTGTTGCTAGAGCTTCCGTCTACCTATAGCCCGGTGGAAGTCGAGACTGCGTTACAGAGGCTTGTTCGGCATCACGCATCGCTTCGCACCACTTTCGTCCCTCAAAGCGATGGGTCGTGGAAATCAAAGTTGGCGGTCGAGAATGTACTTCACTTCGAGCATCGAAAAGCTGGCGATGAATTGACACCCATAACTACTTTCGACGAGGTGCAGAAGTCTTGGGATATCGTGGACGAGCCTGTATTTGGTGCAAAACTCATTGACATGGTCGATGACAGCCGCTTTCTGCTACTTACAGCACATCAGCTTTCAGTGGATGCCGTGTCGTGGGACATCATACGGCAACAACTTGAGGCGCTACTGGATGACCCTGGGGTGCAACTGCCTCGAAGTGCATCATTTAGCTCCTGGACGCGTCATGCTCATAATCTCCCGACAGCAGACCACGCTCTAGAGTGGCCTCGAGCTGATCGCGGAGTCTGGAGCATGTCGGATCAACCCTTCTTGAATGGAGACAGAGCTACAGCGGCATTCAAATTGAGTCATGGGACAAGTGAGCTCTTATTGCACGCTGCGAACGAAACGTTCAAGACCACCCCAGCCGAGCTCCTCCTCGCAGCATTGTGGATGTCATTCCAGCAGAGCTTTCCAGATCGAGGAAGCCCTGCTCTATACGTAGAAGGCCACGGACGGCAAATAGGGCATACCGACTGCAATCTGGCAGGGACAGTTGGATGTTTCAACGTCCTTTTTCCTGTCGTACTGGAAAGCGCAGATTCGACCTTTTCGATCGAGCATATTGTTCCCGCGATAAAGGACGCATATCGCCAAGCATTCAACTCAGCAGTCGCATCGTTCGCTCAGACGATGTTAGGTGACAAACCTTTGCTCCTCGGCGACGTGGAGATTCTGTTCAGATTCAGAAATGAAAGAACGCAGAATGACAATTCTCTAAAGCTTTACGACCGAAATACCTCACTCGAATCGCATCGTGTTGGCGGGCAAAAGCAAGTGGGTCTCATCACGGTCGTCGTTGCAGTTGTCGCAGAAGAGATCGACTTCAGATTTGATTGGAACAATCAGATGGCCCATCAGGATCACTTGAGGGACCTTGTGATACAACTTGAGCAGTATCTGCCGGAAATGGCCACGCTACTCTGCAATCGAGCGCCCAGATTGACCAGGGCAGAGATACCACTCCTCGAGCTTGACGCACCCGGGCACATCGAGCAAGCTATTAGGGACCTTGGAATATGTCCGGATGATGTCGAGGTGGTACACCCAGTGTCTGCCACGCAGGAAACGGTTCTACTCTCTCAAGCCCAGAGCACAGACGATGTGTACACGAATCAAGCCTTGCTCAAGCTTACGCCTGCTGAGAACCATAGCATTGACATGAAACGACTCGAACAGGCCTGGAAAGCCGTTTGCCAAGCACATCCTATGCTCAGGACCATCTTCGCGAATGGAATCAGTTCTACAACAGCATTCGTGCAGATTGTTCTGAGGGAAGCAAAGCCTACTATCATCCACGTCAAGTCCGACGGCAATGATGAATGCCGGGAACTTGAATATAAACTGGCGCCAACTGATCCATCTCACCGCCTACAGATCCGCGCTCTTCCCGACTCGGGTGAGGTGAACGTCGTACTAGAAATCAATCCTGCCCTTGCTGATGCCACGGCTCTGGCATTGATTAGCAAACACCTTGCAATTGCCTACAACAGTCCGGAAAGCTTGAGAAAAGAAGATGACTTTGCAAAGTATCTCGTATGGTCACGAGAAAAGGAGGAGCCGTCTCGAGAATACTGGAAGACATATCTGGCCGACCTCAGCGCATGCCGACTCCCAACGTTTGCTTCACCCAACGCTTCAGTGATTACTTCGGATACCAACTACATCGACGCCACATTTGACGATGTCGACATAATGCATAGCTTCTGCCAGAAAAGCGGCGTCACAATCGCTGACTTCATACAAGTTGCATGGGCCATGGTCTTGCGCCGTCTCACTGGCTCCGAAGACGTCGCTTTCGGGTACATGTACTCTGGGCGCGATCTCTTCGATAGCGCCGAAGAAATAGTGGGACCACTATCGTCGTTACTGACCTGTCGCTTTGACCTCGGCCTTGATTCAAAGGTCGCGGCGCTCCTGGACAAAGCCAAAGCTGATCTGTCCAACAGCATTGCTCACTTTGCCTGCTCGCTACCTGCTCTTCAAGTTTCTCTTGGTCAAGGAAGCGAATCACTGTTCAATACCGCTTTGGCTATCCAGCATGAACCGCCATATGACTCAGCAGATGAGGATGAGGCTCTACTCAAAGTCATACCAGCCGTGATCGATGAGCACAGCGATCATGCTGTAACACTCAGAGTGTGCCTCTCGAAACAGGTCATGCGAGCAAGGTTGATATATCAGAAGGCGCTCATCCCGATGCAGTTCGCCTCCGAAATTCTGGAAGTCCTTGACAATGCGATATGGAACCTGGCCCAGGCCGCAAATGCCACTGCCGTGAGGAGCATCATCGGCGAATGTGATAACTTAAGCAATTACGAGCTTGGGCTGATCCAAAAATGGAATGCCAGGGCGCCACAGGTCGTCAAGGGCACTTTGCATGACCGCTTCAGGCAGGTCGCTGCTCGGAATCCTCTTGCTCCAGCAATCTGCTTCGGAGATCGCGGGATGAGCTATGGTGAACTGAATGCACTTTCTGATCATCTTGCGAGCGATCTTTACTCTCGACGTGGCGTTCGCGCCGAACACGTCGTTCCGGTCTTTTGCGGCAAGGGCTTTGAAGCGGTCATCTTCAGGCTAGCAGTGATCAAAGCTGGAGGCGCTTTTCTGGGTTTGGATGCCGAGCTTTCGGACGAACGTCTCGCTGACATGCTACAAAATCTTGAGATCCCGACCATACTTGCCCACGCATCGACTGCAGTCCGAGCTCGGACCCTCACAAGCGGAAAAGTGATCAGCCACGATCTCCAGTCTATCAAGGGCCTGCCACACAGATCACCCCCATCATCGCTGGTCAATCCTGATCAGCCAGCTTACTGTACTTATTCCTCAGGACACACCGGAAAGCCGAAAGCAGTCCTCGTCAGACATTCGAATATCGTCACAAGCCTGATCAGCTCCATGGATCGACTTGGAGTGACATACGAGACCAGGCTATTTCAAATGTCGGGCCTCGCTTCAGACGTCAGCATTATCGAGATCTTTCAGACACTTCTGGCCGGTGGCTGCGTCTGCTTCCCAACGTCGCAAGGAAGCGTCGACCATATGGAGGACCAACTCACTCAGATGCGTGCCAACCTCGTCTATCTGACGCCTACTGTGGCCGAGGTCATGAGCCCTGCCAGAGCCTCTCCACTAGACACAGTGGTTCTGAGGGGTGAACCCGCCACCGTTGAGGCTGTTCAGAAATGGCATGGTAACGTGCGCCTGCTGAACTGCTATGGCACTGCTGCCGCTACGGGCATCACTAGTTGTATCGACATATCCCTGTCCCAGATCTCGAACATTGGACTTCCATTTGCTTGTCGTTACTGGGTTGTTGATAGCAACAACCACGATCAGCTTGTTCCTATTGGCCATTCCGGAGAGCTTTTGATCCAAGGGCCGAATGTCGCACAGGAGTACCTCAAAGGTTCGATGAGGACTTCGGAGTCCTTCATTACTGCTCCTCTCTGGACCAAGTCATTGCCGGGCTTCAGAGATACAACGACGCAGCCCTTCTACAAGACTGGAGATATTGTAATTCAAAATGTGGATGGAACGATCGAGTACATTGACCGGAAATATCGTCAGTTCAAGCTGAGTGGATTGCCAATTGAGCTTGGCAAGATCGAGAGTCATCTTCGAAAGCATGCAGGCTCTGACTGGCATGTTGTAGCCGAGTTGATCCACCCCAAGCGGCAATCTGAGGATCCATTTCTGGCCGCCTTCATGGCTCGTGCTGGCAGAGTCATCACAGACCCTCAATCCTCAACTCGTGATCAAGCACTACCTCCATTGCCCAAGATTGCCCGCAGGTTGCACAAGACGCTCGCCATTGCTTTACCGTCATACATGGTGCCAAAAGTCTACATTCCTGTTCGAGATCTGGTACTCAATGCATCGGGCAAGACTGACCGCAAACGGCTTCGAGGTATTGCCGAAGCTATGACAGCAGACCAGGTACTTCGGTACAATGCACTCAGCTTGGCTCGAAAAAATACATCGATGTCAACCAGGGCTCTGGAGGATAACATCGAGTTGAGCGCTTATAAAATGCCACCAAATGCTACAGAGATCAAGCTGCGACAGCTTTGGTCTAGCATCTTATCACTTCCTCCCTCTTCAATATCTTCGGACAGCGAATGGTCCAGCGTTGGTGGCGATAGCTTCAAAGCCATGAACCTAGTTTCTGCTGCAAGAGAGCATGGCCTGGCCCTCACCGTCGCTGACATCTTCCGCGCTTCGACCCTCGAACAACTCAGCCGGCTAGCGCTGTCCCACTTCACAGCGACTGTGCCAATGAAAGTCAAGGACGAGATCGCTCCATTTTCTCTGCTCACGATCTCTGCTGAGCTCGCTCGGGAGGAGGCTGCCAGACTATGCGGAGTACACACCTCTCAGGTTGAGGACGTATATCCTTGCACTCCAATGCAAAGGACACTTATGGCTTTGTCATCGCGTCAAAAAGGTGCGTTTGTATGCCGCATCAAGATTCATCTTCGTCAAGGAATTTCAGTCGGACGTCTCCAGCGCGCATGGGCCAGACTAGTGGAAGAGACCCAGATATTGCGCACCAGAATCATTGATATCCCTGGTCTGGGCATCATGCAAGTTGTAGTCGATGAGCCTGTTTACTGGTTGAAATGCGACTCCAGAAACCTGGAGCCAGGAACAGAAACGGAACTTGGATCTTTGCTCAATCATCCTGAGATTCAGGTCGACTCTTCGGACGGAGCATTGGTATGGACAGCTCACCAAGCTGTCTACGACCAATGGACTTTGCCATTACTCTTGCAGAACCTTGAACGTCATTACTTCGAAGAGCCACATCAGCCTTTGAATTCTATCCAGCACTTCGTAAGTCATGTCTCGGACGTGACGCAGCATGGAGCTGGTGTTGCGTATTGGCGTAACCAGTTCGATGGATTGGAGTCTCTGCAATGGCCGGCCCTGCCATCTCCATCTTACGAACCCTTGGTCGACTCCAGATTCGCACATGAGATTCGCAACCTTGCTGCTCCTCCACGCTTCACGTTGTCATCCGCCATTCGAGCCGCCTGGGCAACATTGATCTCGCAGTACACTGGAGCTTCTGAATCTACCTTCGGTGCTGTAGTCAACGGAAGATATGCTGACCTTCATGGCATCGATCGTGTTGCTGGACCTACATTGGCCACGGTGCCTATACGAATCACCGTGAATCCTCGATCTTCCGTTGCGGATCTCCTCACTTGTGTTCAACAGCAGGCAGTCGATATGATAAAGTGGGAACAAACAGGACTGGTGAATATTCAACAGTGTAGTCCCGAAGCCAGACTCGCCTGCCGCTTCCAGTCACTGCTCATGATCCAGTCAGCTGAGCATCTGAGTTCGAGCGTGGCTCAAAATAGCAAATTATTCTCTGGCGTCGAGTTTGTCGACAACTCGGCGGGCGATGGCCTCGGCTCCTTCATTGGCTGTGCACTGGTGTTGGAATGCGAGCAACATAACGGGGACCTCAAGCTGCGTTTCAAGTTCGACTCGGGTGTTATCAGCGAGCAGTTCATGTGCAGGATTGCACAACAATTCGAGACGATCCTGCGCAGACTTTGCAGTAATTCCGCGGCTGACTCGCGTCTCCGCATGTCTAGCGTTATGAGTCCTGGGGACAACGACTTGAGACAGATCTGGAAGTGGAATAGCAATCTACCGAAGTCTGTTGACAAGTGCGTCCATCACATATTGAAACCAGTTTTCGCAAAGCGACCAGCCTCGACAGCACTGCAAGCTTGGGACGGAATCCTCACGTACGGCCAGCTTGATGCATTGACAGAAAAGCTCTCGCGTCATTTGATTGAGCTGGGCGTTCGTCCGAACACAAATGTGCCTCTGTTCTTTGAACAGTCGCTTTGGTGTCCGGTCGCAGCAGTAGCTGTCACGAAAGCAGGCGCTACATCAGTCATGGTGGATGCCACGCTGCCGAAGGACCGCATCCAAGCGATACTCAAGCAGGTAAAGCCTGGTTTGGCTCTCACCTCTTCCAAGCAGGTAGCGTTGCTTCAGGAAATGACGCCTGTACCACTCATGATTGTTGATCATGCACACATCGACGAGATTGTTCTTGAGAGCGAAGAGGACACTTTTGAGCTTGTCAGACCGGACGATGCACTCTATGTTGCTTTCAAGAGTGGGAGCTCTGGCCCGCCGAAGGGAGTCATCGTCACCCATGCCAACTTTTGTAGTGCGCTGCATCATCAAGCAAAGACCGTTGGCCTGATCGACACCAGTCGGAATCTTGATGTCTCCCCTTATGGCTCCGATATGGCCTGGCACAACCTCTTTCACACACTGTACGCTGGTGGCTGTCTGTGCATTCCCAACGAAGAATGGAGAACAGACATTCCCGGAGCTGTGCTCGACCTCAATGCGAATTTCCTGTCGACAACGCCAGCGATAGCAGCTTCTCTGGATGTTGAAGCTCTTCGTAAGTTGGATGCTATCCAGATCTTTGGAGAGGAGCCCAGTGCAGAGCTGCTTGAGAGACTTCAGCACAACGTGAAGCAGTATCGTAATGCCTACAGCGCAACCGAGTGTACTTCAACTGCGCTTGGCTCCAGCAATCCACTTCATTCATCACACATTGGCGTTGCAGATGGTCTTGTGCCGTGGATCGTGGATCCTTCGAGCAAAGAGCTCGTTCCCATCGGCTGTGTGGGAGAGCTGTGGCTTGAAGGGCCGCTTGTAGCCAGAGGATACCTCACTGAAGCCGAGCAGTCCTCTGACGCCTTTGTGGATGCTCCTAATTGGCTTCGAAACGGTACGAGTACATGTGCAGGCCGGCAAAGTAGAGTGTACCGCACTGGAGACCTTGCTCGATACGAGGATGATGGAAGTCTGAGCTTCGTTGGGCGCCGAGATCGTCAAGTAGTAATCCGGGGACAGAGACTGGATCTTGCCGAAGTGGAACGCCATGTCAAGCGATGTTTCTCTACTGCAAATCGAGGCAGTGCCGATGTCGTGGTGGAGGCCATTCCGGGCCCGCTGAACGGCGACACCATTCTGACTACATTCGTGGCGCCGCGCCAGAATCAAGCAGAAGCCGCTGCAGATATTGTCGAACAATTGATCAGCGGGATCAGCAATCGACTGGCCGAGTCGTTGCCTACTTATATGATCCCAACTGTGTTCAAGGCACTGGCTGAGATACCACTCACATCGAACGGGAAGGCAGATCGCAGGCGAATACGAGAGCTCACAGCATCATTGCTGAACGTTAACGGAGCCTCGAGATCGGGCGCAGTGATAGCGCCAGCAAACGACACGGAGATCACTCTTCGAGACATTTGCGCCGAAGTCCTCACGATCAGTCATAATGCAATCTCCGTTGAAGCCAGCTGGACCCAGCTCGGTGGCGATTCAGTCACAGCCATGCAGGCTGCAGCAAGGGCCAAGAAGACAGGATTAAATCTCAGAACCGAGCACCTCATGTATGGCCATGCACTCCGTGATATTGCAAGAACGATTGATCCTGCTCATGACAATTGTGGCGAAACGGCATCCGTCGAAACCTGCTCAAGCCGGGCAGCCTCTCCGGATACAGATGATTTTGAGCTTACACCTGTCCAGCAATGGTGTCTCGAGGAACACCCCACTGGCACCAAATTTGATGTCCCGATATACCTCGAGCTAGAGTCTATGCTCGGTTCTCAGAACTTGTGAAAGACCACCACCTTAGTGGATGGAAAGACGGGTCTACAAAGTGACACGTCACGATGCGAGGGAATGAAGCGTCTGAGAATAAGGCTTGCTGAGCTGGAAACACCTGTAGACAAGGCAGGAGATAAATGCCATGCCGGAATAAAAACAAGCTGTAGCTGAATTCCTGTGAATGTATGCAAACAATCACGCCTGCAAGGCTATCTATAATCTACCGCATGCCCTCTTCTCTCACAGCTAATACGTCTGATACCCGCCACTAGCACTAATACACTGCCCACTAACCCAACTACTCCTCGGCTCAGCCAAAAATCCCACAATCTCCGCAACCTCCTCCGGCAATCCCGCCCTCTGCTCAACAAGCGTAGCCTCCTTCTGCGGCCTCACAGTTTCCTCCGCAACCTGCTTCAACATCTCCGTCTCAATCGGTCCAGGATTGACCGCATTGACAGTCGTCCCATCTTTGCCCAGTTCTGCAGCCCAATTCCGAGTGAAACCTTCCAACGCAGCTTTCGAGGCACTGTAGACTCCCACCGCAGGATATCCAGCTCGAGCTCCTACCGAAGAGATGTTGATGATCCGACCAGGTGCTCGAAGATGTGGAAGAACAGCTTGAACCATGAGTAAAGGCGCTCGAGCATTGAGATGCATGACTTCATCGAAATGTTCTGGCGTAATCTCGGAGATCCTTTTATCGCTAATGACAGCAGCATTATTGACCAGGATATCAATGTTCTGGCCAAAGGCCTTAACAGTTGCATCCACAATCAGCTTGGGAGCTGAAGTTTCGCCGAGGTTGCATTGAACTTCTATGGCTTCGGTCTTGCATTCGGATTTGATGCGGGAGATGAGTTCGTCGACGCCTTGCTTGGACTTATCGGAGGTGTATGTTATGGCGACTTTTGCGCCTCGAGCTGCGAGATCGTAGGCGATGGCGTAGCCTATACCGCGTGAGCCACCTGTTACGATGGCGCTGCGATGTGATCAGCCTAATGCAGAACGAGAATTTAGATGAGCTGCTTACACTTTGCCCTCGAGAGTACGTGGTTGAGTTGGGGCCATTCTTGCGATGCGGTGTCTTGTCAAGACTCGTCGTTGTCTAATGTAGCATTCGAGAGGTCAAGTTTCCAGTGTTCTCTTCAATGCCACAGTAGAAAACGGGTCGATGTGTCGTTGCCGTCCTGTAGCGCTGCACAATGATGTCAAGCGCGACCCAAATAATGATGCAGTCACTAGTCACTATCAAGGGCAGTGGCATCTTGAAGGTCTTTGGTTATACCTCTTAGAAGAGAGCATGAGAGTAGTACGTATCGACCTGTGCGCGTGATCTAGTCAACTGCAGGCCAACGCAGCTCGTTGCCAAATTTCGGCATGTACCACCCTCTGTGTTAGCTACAGCTTGGGCTAGGTACTCCAGATCACATGCTACTGAAGTCGTGCAACATGATCGATCATTGATCATCGCAGCTAATGCATTCCCTGCCATCCCTCTCGAGGCCCTACCGCATCAAGCACTGCACCGCCCATCGTCCTCTCTCCTCCATCATTGCTCACCTCAAACAGCCGGCGCAGCACTCCCCGCAGCCACCGCCCCAGAAGGCATCGTCCCATTCCCAGCACCACCGCCTCCACCACCAACAAACCCACTATCAGCATTCGCATGCCCTCCATCAGCCTGCAAGTAAGCCGCAATGCTATAATAATCATCCTCCTTCCAATCCGCCGAAGTATTCAACCCAATTTGCTTCCAAGCAAAAAGCCCATCTTCAATCGAATCGCCCAAATACACAAATTCAGGGAAAGGATCATAGCTCGAATCCGCTTGCAGCACAGACCACATATCCTCAGCATTGGACGTCACAGCCTGGGTGTTGCCAGAGTAGTATTCTGTCTCCTCGACTGCAGTGCGAAGGACCTCGTTCCAGAACAGCTGGCCGATGTGCGTGACGGATCCGGAGCCAACGAGCAGAGCATTATTCGGCAGAACGGAAACGTTCATGTGAGAGAGGAGGTGAGTGTGAGTTGCACGGCCGTCGTAGTGACCGGGGAAAATCGTATCGAATGTTGCGACGCCATCTTGATCAGTGCCCTGGATACCTCGAAGATACGTTGAGTTGTAGCCACCAGATGCATAGTTTCCTGAAACTGAGACGCCACTGTAAACGCCAGTTGCATTGGCATTCCAGATATCCACGTAGACATTCGGGATGGGCTTGCAAGTTTCGATGTCGTAGTATTGAACCTCGAGATGAAGAGGGATGCCATCGGAACATTCTGATTCAACGACGTTGGATCTGATCAACTCTCCCCACACGTAGTAAGGGCCATCAGTGATTGTTGGTGCCAAGGTGGGGGATGTCACAGCGTCGAAGATGTCGGCCTCTTGAGCTGCGACGTCGTAATTGTAGATGCCGGTCTTGTTGTGATCTATGGCTTCCCACTTGGCCAGATCAGTGGCATTGCGGCGTTCAAGCTCGGTTGCACGTTTGATAGTCTTGCCGGAAGTGGTGATGCCACGCTTCTGTCGCAGCTCTCGAGCAACCTTTGCACGGCGCTCAGCATTGCGGATAGCGAAACGTCGTGCCTCAGCGGATTTAGAGCAGGAGTCAAGAGCTCGTTTTCCTTGATGTGCCCAATGTTCACGGGCCACGATCTCGCGCTCGACTTTGTGGTGATCGTGCTTCTCGCCAGGATGTGCAAAGGCTGGCATTACACATGCAGCTGCGAGCGCAGCGAACTTGGTGAGCGGGGCCATCTTGATAGAGAGAGGCTAAGAAGAAGCGCGACAGTACTGATGAGAATGATTGTAGAGTCCATTGATGCTCTCCTTTCCTTGCGGCGAGCGAGCCCTTATACTTGTCCTGTCAACTTTTTTTTTCCTTCGCCTTCGAAGATGCGTGTAGGGCGACATGTGGGCCGTACGCCTGAGGGACGATCAATGCGTCGACTTGCAACGTGTACTGTGCTGTACTAGACCATCGTGGTTGTCTTGGCTCTCCTGGGCTGAAGACATGTGAGGACATATGGGTGCCAAGCCTCACGGCTCGGGTGGGCATGTGGCGAGATTGCCCCAGTGAAGTCGTGTCTGAGCAAATCCGTCTCCTCTGATAGGCCATTCCGATACTGCTATGAATGCTTGCGTCAGGCTTGAGGAGGTTCTTGTTTGGCTTAGCAAGGCTTGCATCACGCCGTGCGCGTGTCCTCAGCCTCTTTCGACACGCTCCACTCCGACGTGAAACTCTAGTACCAGTCAATAATAGGGTCTGTATCTGTATCACACTAGTAGTGCACCAATAAATGAATGTGCTTTGTCACTGCCATCTGCGTCAGTGGACTCGTAAATGGTCCACTCGGTTTAGCAGTCAGGCCAAGAGTGAGACTGCACCGCGCGGTCTTTCTACGTGCCCACCGTGAGGTCAGTTCGTTTTGTAGTCGAGACCAAGGCGAATCCGAGCGCCAGCTATCGATTCAATGGGGAAACATGAACAGATCCAGTAGCTCTCTGGATCGAATGAACGGCTCTGACTCGGACAAGCGTTCGCACTCATCATGGGCCCGAGTCGAAGTCTGGTGATAGCCTGGATCCGTACAACAGGCGATCGCTTCAGGCTGCGGCCGGACAACTTTCGACATTTGGCAGCAGGAATTTTGCTCGTCTGGAGACAAGCATTTGTACATACTTGCACATGAAACCTGAGGTTGCCATCTTCCAGGCCACAGCCCGCGGCGTGTGGAACGACTGCAGTCTTGTCCGGTACTCCGGATCCATCTTTCGGGACTGCACCAGAAAAACCTGATCTGCGGCGTCAAAGTGCTGCTGTGGCTCATGAATAGTATCCAACATTGACGGTTCGTGTTTCATGGTGGCCGACTGGCGGTCGCCAGCTGCCACATCTTGCGAAGAGACTTCCGGGACCCTTCACTCCGCAAAGCTTTGGTAATACCATTGCGGCTCCACCAGGACCCATCGAGGATCCAACTCTAGTTGTCAGTATCTTAAATAACAATGCTGGTGGCAGCCGACCCGTGCCATGAACGTAGGCAAACTGCAAAAGCTCTTGATCCATACGCATAAGTGCAAAGACGTCGATGCTCAGTGATCACGACGCTAGAACCTTTGGCCCCTTACTTCGAGAAACTCGGTGTCAATGGTTGTATGCCCTTCCGGGTCGAGCTCAGTGATGGCTCGGACAGACGGAGAAGACGCCAAAGTCTTGCCGGATCTCCTCAAGCGATGGAAATGCATGATGGCTGTCTACCTGAGGGACGCGGTGACTCGAAATGCGCAAGAAGCATCGCATTCACAATGGCAGTGATAGAATTGAGCTTGAGGACTGGAAGTCGGATGTCGAGAGGAAGCAGAAGGAGGAGTGACGTACCGTGGTATGAGCAGGCGAGAATTCCGGAAATAGCCGAGCACACGGCAACCGTAGCAGAGCTGTCGCTACAAGCTCTCTCCAGCCATTTTCTCGACCTCACTGTCGCTCCTGCCATTGAAGCCATTGACACTGCTCAACATGCCCATGATCCGCCCGACTGCTCTCCGGAGCCTCCAGTCCACCCTCCGATACAGCGGTGCGCGCGCAACAGCCCGAGCAGCTCCCGCACGGACACAGCTGGTCGCAAAGCGCTTCGCTAGCAGCGGTGGTCATGGAGGCCACGGCGAGGCTTCTTCCGATTTGCCTTGGTGAGTGCAATACTTCCAACTGCGGTGGTGCAGAGAATGCGTCAGGGCAATGGGTGGGATCTACAGATATTGACTGGTTCAAAGGCTCCTAGCGGCATTGGTCGTCACTCCCCCATCATGCTGGTACCTCTGGCCCGACAACTCCTCGCACGGCGATCACGGCAGCCATGGCGAACACCACGCGGAGAAGCACGACGAGAAGGAGGAGGAAGAGCCAGCTGAGGAGGAAGAGCAGGCCTCTGGCGGCGAGGAGGAGGCTGTAGAGGAGGCCGACGAGAAGAAGGAGGACAAGCCTGAGGTCAAGGAAGAGGGCGCCGAGGACAAGGGCGAGGAGAAGTCTGATGACAAGGAGGAGACGTCGGACGACAAGGAAGGGAAGAAGGAGGATGGCGAGGAGAAGTCTACCGACGCACCCGGCCGCAACACCAAGGAGCGCACCTTCACTGTGGGCGCTAGCGAGGAGAAGGATCCGGAGAACGTTGGAGCTTGTAAGCATACTGCGATTCTTGAGCAGTTCCTGCATGGACTAACGAACGCGCAGCGACCAGCAGCTCGTCAAAGGGCATGAAGGTTGGCGAGACCGACGCTCAGGTATGTTGAACCGCTCGTTAGCATATGCAGGCCAGACTGACATGTTTTACAGGCTCCTGCTGCGAAGCCACGAGGAAAGAGCGATGGTGACATGTCCAAGAAGCAGGAGGGCATGTCCAACACCGACACCAAGTACTCGGTGCCTATCGACCAAGGCAACGAGAAGTCCAAGAAGGCCGATGGCCAGCCCGATACTGCCAAGTCGAAGGGAACTGTCGACCCCAACGCAGAGGGCGTAAAGCCACCAGTTGCACGGGATTAGAGCAGTAGGGTAGCGGACGATGCATTTGGAAGCGTGATTGTACACCAGAGGTAGCGTGCATGTAAATATGTATAATACCTGGGATGACAGCAAGTGACCAGTGTATTCGTCTCTGTTCTGATTGATCGTGAGAATTGACGTGTTTGCGTGCTGGCGGCGTGAACGAGCACGAGCACCTTCGTCACAGCTGTGGCTGCCGTTTCTTGGCGCAGCAAACGTGCCGCAACCATGCAAGGTTCTGGACCACCACCACTTCAGAACAACACTTTGCGCCAACACTTCACTTCCTCGCACTCGACATTCGCCGGCTCTCAACTTGATCGCAGGAGTGACATTTCGTGAACTCGAGTGCAACGTGTCCCAATATCAGGTCACACAGGTCGCTTTCGCTCAGTAGCCATCGCTGCCCCTCTGCAGCGTCACGAGCCCATCATGGCCGATGAAGATAGCCCTCTGATCAAAGCACTCCCACCAGCATCGGACTACCTGACCTACCTGACCATCATCGAATACAACCTCAAGACTGAGAACTTGCCAATCCTGCACAAAGTTTTGCAAGATGAAACATTGACAACCAACATTGGCTGGGATCTCGTGCATCTTTTGGTGCCACTGCTACCCGAATCGGAGCAATGCCTGCAGGATATTGCCCGACTAGGCAACCCACGAGAAGTAATTCTGAAAGTTACAGAAAGCTTGAGGCTGATCGAATATGATGATGTCGATGAGGACGAACTCGATGCCAGTGTTGGTGCCACGGATGCGCGAAAGCGAGCAGATTCTAACACATTTCCGCTCAAAACTGCTGCGCCAGAGGGCAACAAAGCGAGAGAGTTGCCGCCGCCTTTACCGCTCGCTGTGCAGCAATTCGTGGCTCTACTGTCTATGCTTGCGATTTTGCAAACCAGGATCAAGACCAAAGCGCCAAGTCGATTCCTAAGCACGAGTCTCCAGGCTATTCTTTCCAGCTTCTCGAGTGCGCAGAGTCATCGAGAAGAGATGATCGAGGCTATTGTCAAGCTCGTGAAGGCTGTGAGCGGAACCTCGAGGCCGACACTGCCAACACGAAAGAGCAGTGGCATGCTTCAGTCTAGCGCGATGGCGAAAGCACAAAATGCTGCCGATCCGGAAGGTCCCAACACTGTCGAGTACACCGACGCCGAGAAATCAATGCAGCTTAAGTTGTTGCAATCTTTCATCACACATGTCGTCGAAGAGTACCTGCTCAATCTGCCGCCATATGACGATGTGCCAGGCATGGGCTGGTGCAGCCGAATCATGGAGAAGGTGCATCCTGAGCGAACTATACCCGAGAGTACGACCATGGTGGATCGATTTGCGACAGAGGAGAAGCTGCATAGGCGGATCGATGCAATCGGTCGACTGGTGACGCTTGCCAAGGATCTCAAGATATCGAACGAAGAGCTGCTCTCTGCGGCTATGGCTGTTGAGAAGGTTGCAGAGCTGGGCGGCGACGAAGACGATCCGCCGGCCTCGGCAGCTGATATTCCACTATCATGTCACGGATCTCTTCTACTGTACACCGCGAGACAGGTCTCTGGCATTCTGTACTCGGATGGAGCGACGTTAGCTGGCTCGTCTGGACCGAGTGTCGAACTCTTCCCGCAGCATCAAGACATTATGAAGAACTGTCTCGCCTCACCTGAGATGGGCGAAGGCCATCTCGGCACAGAACCAGAAGCGCTAGTCGACGCTGTGCTCGCTCTTGGACTGCAATGTCTTGAGCAAGACGCTACCGGAGAGCCGAAGTCTGATGAGCAGTTCAATGAGTATCTACAAGTTGTGGCACTCCTTTCCTCGAACTGTCCGAACGCCAATCTGAGAGGACATGCGCATTACCTTACGAGTACGGTCCTACGCTCACAGCCAGACGAGCAAGTCCGTCTATCATTCATTCGCGACACCCTTGAACACTGCCCGTTCGAGAACTTGAAAGTCTCTGCAGTAGGATGGATCAAGGGCGAGACGCTCGAAGCGAACCCAATGAAGATGCCAGGACACGAATCGCCCAGCAACGGAGAAGCCCAGGAAGAGAAGTCCATCTTCTCCCGACCTCTCGCTCTTGACAGCCTCGCGCCTCATCTCTTTCCTTCTTTGCAAACAGAGCTCATCACTGCACCAATCTCTGACGCCTGGATGACGTTCCAGACGAACGTCTCATTCTACCTCGCGAGCCTGAACCTGATCTACCTACTCCTCACTGCGAAGCATGTACACGAATCGCTCGAGATCTCAGAGTTGTGGAACAATAATGATATCGCTGGCAGTTTCCTCGGCCCACTGAGAGACGCGAGAAAGCGGTTCGTGGATGCTATGGAGAACGGAGGAGAGTTACAAAGTGAGAAGAGGGACGAGACTGCAGCAGAGCTGGCGTTGCTACAAGTGACAATCGAGAGAGTAGAAAGCGCTGTGAAGCATTTGAACTGAGTTGACGCCGTAGCTGTCGACTTTTAAATCCCGATATCCTGGACTGAATACAAGTCAAAACATCCATCTTGCTCGCTGGCTGAAATACTGTCCCAAAAACTCACTGTCTCATACTTTCCCTGTCGACATTCTCTCATCCCTCGCAATCCACCTCCTCAAAACCGGAATAATCATCGTCCCAAAGCCAATACTCAAACTCTGATAAATCACAACCGGAATCTGCAATTTACTCTCCAAAACCAAATCCAACCCCTCAAAAATCGAAATACTCAGCGGAATCCCCGTCGCAGGCCCCTTTCCCGTAACACAATACGCAATCGCCGCAATATCCTTTTTCTCAAACAATGGTAAACTCGCTGTGACAGAGATTCCGAGATACACTAACCAGATTGCGAGGAGGATGAAGACGAGGAATATCTTATTCGAAGCTTTCACAGTATCGAATGCTCCAGATGCGAAAGCTTGATCGTAAGTGGACCAGATGATTACCAGCATTGCCAAGCTGGAGATTCGTTTCATGATGGGGTTTTGTTTGAAGATTTTTTGGCAGAGGTTGGGGAAGAAGTAGCGTGCGATTTGGCCGGCGAAGAGAGGGATATAGATGGAGACTCCGACTTGTTTGAGGACGCGGCGGTAGACTTCTGTGAACAGGGCGGCGTTGCTAGATGGGAGGACGGCGTTGTACCATGTGGGAACTGAGGTATACATTATGACCAAAGCTGGAGTGATGAAGACGCCTGGTGGAGTGGGTTAGTCATGTATGCATGAAGATCGATGAACCTTGATGGTCTCTTTGACAGAGCACATAAACAATCCAAGCCCCTCTTCAATGGAGTCCGCACTTACCAATAAAATTCCCCAACGTAACCTGCACAACCGCCAATTCCTGATTCCCGCCCGCCAACCCCGTCATAACCACATTCGTCGCCAACGTCGTAGGAATACAACTCATAAAAACCAACCCGACCAACAACCCCTCATCCATAAACGTCCGATTCAAAGCCGTCGCACTCACAACCCCAAACATAATCCCCGAACAAAGCAAAAAACACTGTCCCTGAACCCAAAGATGCGCTTTCCAGCGCGCGTAATTTCGGATTAAGATGCTGGTGTCGAGGGTACAACCTGTGGCGAAAAAGATAATGCAGACGCAGAGGTAGGATATTATGCGGGATTTGAGGGGTTGCTGGGATTGGGGGACTTGGGTTTGGGAGGCGAGGATGATGAGGAGGCCCATTGTGAGGAGGAACCATTGGTCGTTGAGGAAGGTGAGGAGGTGGGATTGCCATTTTTGTTTCTTGGTGACTGGGTTGTGATATTCCTGGGGTTTGGTGTTTCTGTCGTTCTTTTCTGGATCATGGGTTTGCTGCTGAGGCTGCTCGGCTGCTGTTACGACGGTATCGATATCCTTGGTGGCACCTTCCCTCGATTTCGGCCTTTCGGAGTTCTTCTCGCTTTCGGCATCGCTGTCGTCTGCCTGGGAGAACGCGGGCGCACAGTTCTCAGCGCTAACATCTTGTCTGGGCTCCACGATGCCACTTTCGCCAAGCGTTCCAGTTGGAGCCCTATTGTTCAGAGTCGATCCTGTCATCTCGGCTGCCTGATACTGGGAAAATACGCTCTGTAATGGAACGCCCGATGCTGACCACCAACAATCTGCTCCATGGTGGAACTTCTTCGGAAAACATTCAACGGTTTACAAGAAGAAACACTTGGATAAAGGAAGAGGCAGTATTCGATGACGATCTCTGGACTAAACTTGAAACGGCAATGAACGACGACATGTCTTGGCTCCGTCGTCGGCCCTCTCACCGCGTCTCAGCGATACCGTCCGATCCTCCAAGCAACAACAACACGAAGCCGTCCTGGTGAGCATGTGACAAAAGGATTCGAAAAGCTGCACGACAGCTCTTTCACCTCATCAGCTATGACATACCCCTGCTCGGCGAATAGAGTTCACAAGTTATTTCCGACCCATGCATGGCCCTACGAGATTCTCGGCCTGCATACCCCGCTGCAATGCGCCCCATACCCCTCCACAAATCTTCGCACTATACAGCTCTCCAGACGAGGGAAAACTGCCACTTGTGACAGCCGTGGAGTCACTCGCGAGTCCCCTCAGCCGGAAGAGTTTCGCTTTCTGGCATCGGTAGCACAATGATTGGATCGGGCCACCCATGATGACGGATCTTGGTCATCTCCACAGGATCGGAACGACCAAACTAGCCGTATCCAGGTGCGAATCTGATGCTGTGGTTCACGCGTAGCTCCTGCGGAGGTGCAGGTAGCTAGAAATGTGGAAGGATTAGAAAAGGTAAGGTGGAGAAGAAAGCCGTGGTACTTCTGTTTCTTGTGTTTATTTACCGTCTTTGCCATTGTTCTTTCGTCTTCTTCTCCTACTTCTTCTTGAGGAACTTCGATAAGCTTGCTACGCTGAAACATTGGAGCAGAAAGAATCGCTCGTACAGATCATCGAGAAGAGACTCAGGATGGCACAAACAACTAAAGCTATCGTGTCACACGATACGCTTGACAACAAAGGATGGAAGATGGAAGAGGTCACACTCCGAGATCTCCAAGAAGGCGAGCTTCTCGTTGAGATGGTCGCAACTGGAGTCTGCCACACAGATGCTTTGATCGGAGGTATACCAGGCGGAGCAGCACCAATCGCCTTCTACCCGCGAGTTCTTGGACACGAGGGTAAGCACGAGTCACATTCGAGGGTCTATTTGCTTGATGGATGCCTCCTAACATTTACGAACAGGCTCCGGATACGTTCGCAAAGTCGGTCCAGGCGTCTCTGTCGCAGCCGAAGGCGACCCAGTCCTCCTCTCCTTCGCCTTCTGCGAGAAATGCGAAATCTGCAAAACCGGCGGCCACTCCAACTGCAATTCCTTCAACGAGCTAAACTTCGGCCCTCAGCCCGCTTTCCACCTCGCATCCAAGAGCGGCGAACCCGACGTTGGAGGCTGCTTCTTCGGACAATCCTCCTTCGCCAACTGGTCGATCGTCAAATCCTGCTCCGTCGTCAACGTCAAGGACACTGTGACCGACAAGAAAGATCTCCAGCTCTTCGCTCCACTCGGCTGCGGTATCCAAACCGGAAGCGGCACAGTCGTAAACGTCTCAGGCGCTACAGAGAAAGACTCAATCTGCATCCTCGGTCTTGGCGGTGTAGGACTTTCAGCAATCATGGGCGCAAAGATCCAAGGCTGCAGACAAATCATCGGTGTCGACCGCGTCGAATCCCGTCTCAAGCTCGCCAAAGAACTCGGCGCAACACACGTCATCGACGGCTCAAAACTCGAAGGAAAAGATATCGGAGATGTCATTAAAGAGATTGCAGACGGTGTCGGACCTTCCATCACAGTTGATACAACCGGTGCACCAGTCCTCATGAATGCAGGAATCAAGTTTACGAGGAACCGAGGCAAGTATATTCAGGTGGGCTCTCCTCCGTTCGATTACACGCTGGGAGAGGTAACTGGCTTTGAATTGATGATTTCTGGAAAACAATGGATTGGAGCTATTGAAGGTGGTGCGTATCCGCCGGATTTCGTGCCCAAGATGATTCAGTGGTATCGGGAGGGCAGGTTCCCGATCGATAAGATGGCAAAGTTCATGCCGGCGGATGACTTCCAACAGGCGCTTCATGAGATGCATACAGGAGTAAGTAACAATATGAAACTTGCATTCGGTTGCGTTGTGTTGAGATATGCTAACTTGCTGCTTCTTTTGCTTGCAACAGGAGACAATCAAGCCAATGTAAGTCAAAATCACGAACCGACTTGCTTTTGCAATGAATGCTAATCGCTACGCAGCTTGACGTGGTAGTAAAATCACGACCTCAGCCTGCCATACGTAGAGCGCAAATAGTCAAGAAATCAACAAACGAAACAACTTCCACTCAAACATCAGCTTGTGGCGGAAAGATTCTCAATCATCCACCTGCTCCATCCAGTCCGCCTGCCAACACCTCAAAGCCTTATCTCCACCTTTCGGCTTCTTCCCATCCGCCGGCGGCTCCTTGCACTTCTTACCCGGCAATATCTCCCACTTGATACCATCGCCCTTGACCCCCGCTTCCGGCACCCATTCTTTGCCCAGGTAATTCTCCCAGCCCCCGAAGATGCTGCCCGGATTCATGTAAACCTTATACGTCTTACACGAACCCATCGCTGCTTGGAGGAAGTATTCGCAACGCTTGACACCCGCGCGAAAATCGAAGTGACAGCCTGTGTCTTTCTGCGTAGCGTTGCACGATTTCTGGTCGTGTGTGATGCGAATCTTCATCGCGTTTGGGTCCTTTGGGTTGGGGATGGCCTCAGGAACAGAAGTCTTCATGGGGTAGGAGCGCTCAGATTTGCTGCCGTCCCAGGATTTGTGGTTGCCCTCGAGTGTGTTAATATCCTTAGATCCGGCGTAGGTCTTGTACGAAGCGGACATCTGGCTGCAGAATTTGGTGACCACGGAAGATGCAGCGGCGCGTTCCCAGTGGATGGCTTCTCCAGTGGAACACCAGCCTTTTGGTGGCGGACCGGTCGGTGTTGGTGGAGGCGGTGGTGCGGTCATTACGTCGCCACCGATGGCTGGCGCTTTGGTGTAGCCGCAGGTCGAAGTTGTCCAGCTTGTGCTGCCTTTGGTTGAAATGCCATAGACATTCTTGGTCATCACGTAGTTCTTGCCATCGGGACAGGCGCACCAGGAGGTGTGGAAATCGCCGGCTGCTGTGGTCTGAGAACTGCACTTGAACGTATTGGTGATCGGAGCAGTGACAATGCGAGGATCCGAGACAGGAGGGTTCGATGGCGGCGTGTACAGCATGCGCTTTGGGGCCGGTGTTGTGGTGTACGGGCAGTTATCCGTAAGAACCGTCTTTGAGCCTTTGACGTCGCTGGTGTAGACATACTTGTGCGTGATGTATCTTGTCTTCCCACAGTTGCACCAGGTTTGTGAATTTGCTTGCTCCACGCCTTGTCGGCAGAGAAAGTTCAGAGCTGTCGTGACAAGGCCGCTGGCTCTGGGGAACGGCCATACCGCATCCTCCTTGTCTCCGTTGGTGCCCTGATCGTCGTTGGGATTGATATGGCAAACCGTCGGGTTCGTGCACATCGCACATCTGTCCGACGTCGTCGTCTTCGTCGCTGAGGTTGCAGTTCCCGATGCTCCTCCAGTGAGCGCCCGAATCATATTCTGGAACGAGTACAGCGGCACAGAGACCTCCCAATTCAGGGCGTCGCCAATTTGATAACCAGCTCTCATGATAGCGAACGCCGTAGCGAGCTGGTATGCTCGGTTGATGGTATGCTGATCGATCATGGCAGACAGGAAATAAGCGGCCCATTCTGGTGGAATGAGGACGTCGCCCAGTTGGGCCGTAATTTCCCCTCCAAGCTTGTCGTAGAGGCCAGCTTCAAGTTCACGAGAGATATCGCAGTACAGCCCATTTTGCGGATGTTGACGCTTGCGCAGGTGGTGGCCACCTTCGAAGCATGCGCTTTGCATCTTTTCAAAGATTCTATCTCTCGTGTCCGTGCTCAGGGTGACAGTAGCGTTGATTCCGTATTTCGGGTCGCCCATTATGGCCGGAGGCTTCGATTTCGGAATAGCCATGGTCGCCACAGCTTGAGTGGTATAAACCGAAGTAACAAAACTGTGACCGGTCTCGTAGATGTCCGTGAAGGTGACCCTCGTTGGGGTGAACGGCGTGGCATCGTTTCGATCGGCGTCGTGGCATCGAATAGTGTTGAGAGTGGTGATACATGTCGTCCGGTAAGCCTTGATTTGCGGTGCCTCTAAATCGTTTGGCATGTCGACACTGGAGACAAATTTCGTGATCAGTGTCGTATTTGTGACACTTATCATTCTGGCTGAGCTCTCCAGCACTGCTGGAGCAGTAGCAGTGCCATTGGCAATCGTATTTTCGGCGATGAGTCCCTGGGAAGCAGTAGTGGAAGCGACTGCTCCAAAGCTGAGCAGGCCAAGGACTAACCCGCCGAACAAGCGGCCGAGACTCATCCTGTCCGCTAAACGGTGGATGACTATTTAGTTGTGAGTGGTGAAGATATTGAAGGGTCCGAGATCCACGTCTAGGTTGTTCGATGTGTCTTTGAATGTTGTTCAGTCTTCAGTGGTTCGAGATTGTCGATGTTGATGTTGGCATAGAAGTTCAGGTTTGGTCCAGTCCATCAGTGCCTTTTTGTGCTTCCTTCCCAACCTCAAATTCACCAAACGAAGAATGCACAAGCAAATCATCTGAACCATCATCTGCTCGATCAGCTAACATGTGCATCCTTGACACTCCTGCGAGTCCATCTGATGTCTTGAGCAATCCAACCGATATCGCGTGCAAATCCATCTGATGTCTGGAGCGATTTGATCTGATACCTTGTGCAAATCCATCTGATATCTTGTGCAGAAAAGCCAGAAACATGTGAAAGTCACAATGCCACGTCCTCCATAGCACAGAATGGACATATAGCGCATTCGATGTCCTTAGTGTAAAGAGAAAGTCAGTCCAGCTGAAGAGTCACTTCTTCAATCGCACGTGATGTCGACATCAAAGTTGGCCGCGACTCTCGCTATCGATATAGATGCACGCAGGCAAATAGAGATATGTATAAGATGGTGTCGAACCCAGGTATGCAGAGTATTGGCAATCGTATCGATCACACATACCTACTGTATCAATATCAGCTAAGACTCTGATCATCGTCAACAGTAGAAGCAAGTGACCCAGAAGATGGAGAATGAGAAACCAGAAATGTTTCCTTAAAGAAGTGGACGCCTGCTTGGATACACGTATCTTCGATACTGTAGACAGCCATAATTCTCAGCATCGGTAGTTGTGCAGGCCGGGCAGTGTGGCCATGGAGATCAGGATAGTAGAAGCAGGACTCCAGAGACGATTCTTTTGAGTAGCAGGAATAGTAAAGCAAGCGAAAAAGATAGGGAAGTTTCCCGTCAGAGGCGGCTTTGCTTTCACTTGCTGCGACGGCTCAGCGGTGCGATTGCATACCGGGCAGTGATGATATGAAGAACGACGCATTAGAAGCAGATTATTGGAAAGCCGTCTGCTCAATGCAGAAGAGGTCCAAGAATAGAAAACAATCATGGCGAAACTCATTTCCAAAAACGGCTTTACTCATCGCTTGCTGCAACAACTCGCGCCAGCGATGCGATTGCATGCTTGGCAGTAGAAGCATAGAGAACGACAAGCTAGAAGCAATTTTCTAGAAAAGCTTCAATCAAGTCAGCAGACTTTCCAGGATAGAAAAGGATGATAGGGAAACTCACCATCGAATAAGGCGTTCCGTAGCATTTGTTGCAACGACTCCGTGCCAACGGAGTCAATCAATGCAGTGCAGAAAGAAAGCCAGGAACGAGACACCAGCAACAGATCCCTAGAGAACAGTCGTGTTTCTCCAGTCTTGTACATTTTCAACATCAGAGTCAGCTATGACTCAGTGCAAACGATGTCAATGTACGCAAAGGGCAAAGGTCATGGAAGACGAGGTCCCAGAGACAGATTGCCAGAGAAGCGTTGCACTAGGGTCAGCAAAAGAGGTCAAAAGTGAAAAGGAGAGCAAGACTCACCGCACAAATCAGCTTTCTCCATCCATTCATCCCGTGATGCTGGCATCCTGCATTGATCAACGGAGCGAGACAGCAACTCGCAATTCCAGAGCGCACCATGCATACAAGCTGCTTTTCATACCTCTCTACTGTATCATATTCTCGTCCGATCTGCTCGCTGAACCGTGATCGCTATGCCACAACCAAAAGAAGAACGATGAGGAAACAACGCAAAGAATTCGGTATCCTCTCAATGAGGCGAATGGCCACTACGCCGTGACCGCCTCTCGCCTCTCGAAATTCTCATCCTGGCAAAAAAACCCCCCTTGTCATCGGCATCATCCATCTCGTGGTCAGTCAAGCCCTGAGCAGCAGCCTCGACCTTTGCCTTTAGCCTGCGTTTGACTTCGCCTTCCACAGGACCAACCTCTTTCATGAAAACGTCCTGTGACGGCGAATGATCTGGACCCACGGTTTTGATCATCATACTCGTATCTCCCACCCAGTCATGCCACATCTGCAAAGCTTCCGGATATTTCTTCACAGCCTTCTACGCTGCGGCCAATCCTCCGGCACCGCCGCCCGTCTGACGGATCTCGTCCTCCGCCGCCTTGGTAGCAGCATGATGGTCCTTCTTGACATAGTCAAAGTAATCCTTCCAGGCACGATTGGTCCCACCCACGGCAGCGTCACCTGTAGTGTCAACTCCGAAAGCCTTGTTGAAGTAGACGCTGACCTTGACAACCGCTTTCTGTTCCTCGGCAAGCTTCTCAAGTTCTTGCTTGACAGCAGTGTCCTTGGGCTTGAAGGTGAGCACGGTGCGGAACTGTTGCGCGAGGCTCTCCAAACGACGGCCACTCTCGTGAGGAGCAATAGTGAGCAACTTAATGAGCACAAGGCAACACAGAATCTTGATGTCATGGTCGTCTCCCACTCCAGCCACAATTCGATCGTAGTAGGCAGACATGTCAATACGCTCGCGAGATGCGGGAGAGTCAAGCAGAGCATAGAGCGTCTCGTATGCAGACTTGCGCATTTCCAGTCCATCGTCGATCTTGTGTTTGAAAGGACCCATTTGCACTTCACGGATGAGCTCAGGACGAATGACTGTGGCCTGCATTGCGTAAGGCAAAAGTTCGCCCAGATGCGGTAGGACGAGGTCCGGCTTGTTATAAAGTGCGGAGTTGAAGGTGGCGAGTGACAATCGCTGGTTGTCCAGATCGCGGTCGCGTAGCATAGTCGAGAGCAAAGGAATGATGGTGGCCTGAAGATGCGCGTTGTAGCTGTCTTCCGTGTCAGAGAACACGTATCGAAGCGCCGCGATGACCATGCCACGAACGGCTGGGTTGGGGTTCTGGAGGAAAGTGTGCAACTGTGGCAGGTAGGCCGCTGGATCGATGATAGCCAAGCGCCCGACACATTCAGCACCAACGACCTTGTTGTCCTCGGCTTGACCGGAATTGATAATGTTCTCCCACAAATTCTTGGTGTATGGGCGGATATCATCTTCTGCAGTGCTGTGTTGCAAGAGCTCTTTCACAGAGTGCAGCAGGAGATACTGCCGACCTTGTGCCATTCCGTTCAGTATCTTCGGTAGGTATGTCTTCACATCTCCAGCTCCAGCGCGTCCGAGTGCGACTGCAGCAGCGAGCTTGACCTTCTCCGACTCGTCTGCGAAGTATGGCGTGAAAGAGTCCGGGTTGAGTGGGAATTGTGTACCTTGGCGCAGACCAGCTTCTCCCAGTACAGACAGCGCGAGACATCTCTTTGCCTCATCTGTCTGCGTCTGAAGCTCATGCACGAAGGAGTCAAGTTGCACACCAACGCTATCTCCTCCGGCGACGAGCAGCGTGCCAATGACCTGACCAGTCACGTCGGTATCTCCAGCCGGGGCAATGTTCAACAATGATGCCATCAAGCGCTGGCCGGCCCCGGCTTTACCGATGGACTCAACGCAGGTGATCAGCGCATCGAGTGCAGACCCGGACAATGGCGATCGCACAATGCTGCAAATGCCAGCAATGACTGGGTCCGTAGCAACTGTTTGAGGCTTGTCTTTAGCAAAAGAGGCCAGCACAATCAAGGCAGGACCCATCATGTGTAGATCGCCAGACTCCAACAAGGGTACAAGCATTTCCACGAGCTGTGCAATCACCGTATCATCCATGCTATCCCTAGAAGCCTGGTTGACGGCAAGCATGCGCAGAGCACTCAGACTGGCACCTCGCAACGAGCGGCTGGACTTGCGAAGCTGAGCGCCTAGCTCGAGGGCGACGGCATTGACAAAGCCCGGCTTGAAGTCTTTTGGTGTCTGCGCAAGCACTGCAATAGTGTCGACAGCGCGAACACTCGACAGCCGAGTCAGTTCGTTCTTCATGCGCTCTGCGATAAGCTGCTGACCAGCAAAACGGTCCTCTTGAGACACGAAGTTCGATGCAGCACCACTGGTGCGACCGATGAGAAGACCGAGTGCATGCACAGCTTTTCGACGGACCTCGGTATCAGTCTCTTGAGCAGAGATGCGCTCCGAGATGACATTGAAAAGTTTGGCCAACACAGGTGCATTGTTGTCTGAAGTGGAACGCGGAGGGGTGAGAGCTTTGATGTATACTTCAATGGTGGAGAAGGCCTCACCAGACACCTTAGCAAAGCGATCCTTGGCTGTCTTGACAATCGCCGGAACAATCTTGTCCAGATGCGGCTGAATGACCTCGCTGGAATGAGTCTCTGCAATGGCTCGAAGTAGGGCCAGAGCCTCGACCCGCACAGCGTTGGCTGCCACATTGGAGCCAGTGGATGCGGCACCATTGATGACCTCTACTACGGGGTCGATCACAAGATCGGCGCTGTCAGAAAGACCACCGTGCTGTGCGATCACCATGTCCTTCAGGAGAGAAATAAGCGCCTGCTTTGTGGCAGGAGTGGATGTCTTGAACAATTTTGCGGCACCCTTCACGATCTGCGAACTGTGTTAGCTGAAACCCGGAACACCACACCGCGCAGTAACTTACCTCTGGGTTGATCTTGACCAATCCCTGGGCGGAGCCGTCGGCAGGAGGTGGAGTTGGAGGTGAGGCGTGGCCATTCATGAGAGCCTGCTGAGCCTGCAAGTCAGAGCCTAGAGAGTCTGAGAAACCACGTCTCCGCTTCCTGCTTGGGGCGAGAACGTTGACCTCGGTCTTATGCAGCGTCTTAGACGCTCCAGTCTTGGTGATGAGGAACGCTAAAGTGTTCACAACCTCGTTCCGCACGCTCTCCTCGCGCTCCTTGAAGCGGCTGATGAGCGCAGGGGCGATCTGGCCGAAGATTGCTGGATCTTTTGCGTCGAGCATGCCTACTAAAGCACGCAGTGCCTTTGCAGAGTCTCGGCGAACCTTCCAGCTCACATCGTCCTCGTCTTCAAAACCCGTCTCTTCCTCGAAGTCCTCGTCGGCGAATTCGTCATCTTCCTCCTGCTCTTCCTCCATGTCCTCATCGTCGTCATCGAGTACGTTAGGCTCGTATTTGAGGAAGCGCGTCGCAGCATCTGCCACGTCCGTTGCATATGACTTCATGTCCAAAGGACAGCACTCCAAAAAGGCGGCGATGGAGCTCAAAGCTGCCTCCCGGACTTCTTCCATCTGCACATCTCGCTCGCCATCAGCCTCCGCCTCTGCCTCTTGCTGCTGTTCGAGCTCATCTTGGCTCAGCGGGGCCAGTGCGAATGGAGAGAGTGTCTTGAGGTAGGGACCAAATTTCTGCGGTATGCTGCGGGCTAGACTGCCAAAGACGGTGATGTACAGCTTCCGCTGCTGACTCGTGAGGTGCGGCTGGCGCATCTGCTCGATCGAGTAACTGACGTGATTCGAGAGTAGACGGTCATCGAAGTAAGGTGCGAGCGCCGAAAGGGCTTGAACTGCCTTCTTCTTCATGACAGTGCCACATCTCTCGCTCTCAAGGATAGACATGGTGATTTGTTCCAGCGCCTCGACTTCTGCTATTTGCAGCATGGGCCCAAAGTTGACGGCAACAGCTTGGAGGAGATCCAGACTGTTGGAGTCATTGCCCGTCTCTAGATCTTCCTGCAACATGCCCTTTGGCGGTGGAGGCCCCGGCTTGGGGAGGGGAACAATGACACGCCCGACGAGACGAGGGATCAGTGCTCGACTGACGGCGTTATAGGCATCGACCACTTTTTGATTCCGTGTCACGCCTGGCGCAGGATGTGGTAGAGAAATGACGATTTGGCGAACAGCAGTTGCAGGTATTGAGTTGTCAATCGTGTTGTCGGTTCTAATATTGCTGACTTTCTCGATTGTTGGGCACAAAATGGCCTCTGGGGCCTTGTTGACGAAGGGTCCTAGCACTTTGACAGCCATGTTCTGGACTTCGCCATTGCTGTCGTTGAGCGTGTGCAGCAGCCCTTCAACCACTTTTGCGCATGTTGTGTAGTCGTGTTGCAGGAAGGTGGCATGACCGATGGTGAACATTTGGTTCAGGTCGTTGAGGGTCATGTAGCGAATATCCGAGTCGGCATCGTGCAGCTTGTGCAAGAGACTGGCGACATTGTGCGAGGTGGGATTCTGGGGCACCGTGTTGCTCGCCATGGCGGGCGGGAAGGGGGAGGAGTGGTCAGTCGGCGGTGGTGCGGAGGGCGGAGATGGATGTAGAGGTGTAGAATGGTATTCGAGTGCACTAAAGTGTAATGCTGAAGAGAGAAAATGTGGGATGGTGTGCAGCTGGTTGTTGGAGCTTTTGACGTGACGAACGACAGTCGACAGGCACCAACAGCTCTTGCCCCACCAACCACCAAAAGCGGAGTCAGGTCCGCTTGCCAAGACTTGCGATCGGCAAGTGAAGCTCTGACCTTCGAGAAGCTTTCCTGCAACCAGCAGCACCTGGCCTACTTCATCTCCTCATTTCCTCCTAAACATGCTGGTCCACTTCTGCCGCCTCCAAACACCACCAGCATGAAGAGACAACGTCACTTCCCCTCCGCCACCCACGACGCCGACGACACCGCCCCCAACACCATGTCGGCCAAACGCCAGAAGATCGATCGCGAGTCCAAGGCCGCCTTTGCAGCCAGCCAGCCCATGTTCGACACACTGCGAAATGCACGAGACCGGCTGCCTGATCAGGGCATGTACCTCACCGTTGCCGCCAATCTGGTCCAGCAGCTTCACGTCGGGCTCAAGATTGACGACGGCAACAACCATGTTGAGCGACACGCCAAGTACATGGATGCCATCGTGGAAGCCTGGCGAGCTGCCACCGACACCTACTGCCAAATCTTCTCGCAGCTGACCAGTATCACTGCCGACAAGCCTGAAGAATGGAGACGCGCTGCGACTTCGCATGCCGACTTCGAGAAAATGTTGCAGAGCGCACAGCAGGCTCAGAAGATTGCAAACGAGTACACTCTAGCAAGAGAGAAGCCGGATATCCCCACAGCCCCGTCAGACAACAACGTCAAAGTCGAAGCGGAAACTTCTAGCTCTTCGAGTAGCGACTCGAATAGTGATGAGCCCGAGTCCTCAATGTTCCCGCCTTCACAGCCCACACCGACACCTGCGTCAAAGAAGAGCTACCCGAACACAAAGTACGACAAGTCTGGAAGCAGGCTATTATGGCAGAGCGGAGAGCTGCGAGTGCCCATCAGCACTCTGACCAATGACGAGAGGAAGGAATGGGCGGTTGTTCACAAGCGACTCGAGCGAATGAATGCAAAGAAGAAGGTTGCGAGTATTGCAAAGGGCGCGAAGGTGAATGGAAGCAGTAACCTCGGGACTGCCCCAAACGGAGTTGTGGCTCCACAGACGACTGGCACCAAGGTGGAATCACAGGCTGCAGGAGATTCTAAGGAACAGGACTTGGAAACACTGAAGGAGATCGAAGCACGCATTAAAGCCAAAGAAGAAGCCAAACGTGCCAAGAAAGCTGAGAAGAAGCGCAAGCGAGAGAGCACCGACAGCTTCTTGATCGAAAACCCTGCGGAGCTCGAGGCCGAGCAGGCGACCGCCGGTGCAAAGCCAAAGAAGAAGAAACTCAAACACGCCGATCAGACCACCTCTGGTCAGCCCACGCCTAATCAGAATGGCAGTGCAAAGCGCAAAGGCAGTGTCGACGAACGTAGTGCAGACGGAGGAGGCAAGCCGGCCAAGAAGCACAAGAAGAACAAGAACAAGACATAGGGCGGCTTGTAAAGACCACGAAAGATCCTAACGAGTTTGAGCTCTGATGAAGAGCTGCGTTTATCTTAGGCGCTGTACTGCAAGAATCCAACATTGTACGCATGAGACGAACATGCACAGGAAGGCGTTGAGGTCTGCATGACGAGCGTTTATTGCTTTTTGATACGCACGAGCGAGAGATACCCCATGTTCATGGCAGCTTCAGACCGATCGATGATGAGGCAGTGGAAAACTGCAAAAATGAAAATAATTCTACCGAAACCCGAGCTCTCCACTAGGTCCCAACACCATGGTATCAGGAGGTACCTGCAGTGTATAAGTAGAATTCATCAGCATATCGTGCACTCAGTCTCCTCGGCTTTCAATGCCGGCTCAAACCGGGCGGATGCACGCGAAGCGTTTAACTTGAACCTCAGTCTGTCAGGAACAGCATGCAACTATCACAGTCCCGGGTACCAGAGCACAGGAAGACGCTCAAGTATTGGTATATTTATCTATAGTCACCTCCCAGAGTCTACAGCCCTCAGACGCTGTGTAGGAGTCGTAACTCCAATTAATTTGATTCACAGCAAGACAGTCGCCAGGATAGACATACTCGAAGCTGACAATACTTCTTGTGCTCGTGGTCTTCTCGTTTCTGTACACGCTGGAGGTCTCGAGCAACCGCCAATGACCCGTCGTAATGGTTGCAACACCCAGTGCAGATGGTGCACCTGTGGAAGAACCCCGATCTTAGAGGAGGGCTCGCTCGACTGGCAAACCCCTTCACCTCAGGATATGTCCACGAACCACTGGAAGAATGTGAGGCATCAGAAGGCATGGGCTAAAGAAGGGGCGGGACAAAAGGTCTCAGGGGTCATGGCAAAAAGCACGCTGTAACGATGATGCATACTTCAGTCAAATAAAGCTGTTTCCACAACTCCTGTAAAACCATTCAATCGCTACTTTTCTGCCTAATGGCAGTCTTTTTCACAGGACATGTTGAATGCCCCATACGAACGCCCGTGTAGACATTACCTCGCAGAATTTTATCAAACGACTATCCCCTAGGATTGCCCTAGCTTCGGCCCCATCTCACTGAGATACGCGAGAAGTTTCCAACTGCTCATAAAACTCCACGCCTCCAGAATCTTTCTTGACCTCAATGGTCCACTTGATCGCCAACGTGTCCTTCACCACAATTGCCCCGCCAAAGGTCCCCCCAGGCATCGGCATCTCCACAGACCTGTGGCGAGCTTGTCCTTCTTTTACGAGTAACTCGCTCATTTTCTGTCTCGCTGCAGCGTTCGCCTCATTCTTGCTCTCAAAGCTATCAAGTATATCTAAAGTCCTCATTGGCACAATGCCCAGCGAGACTTGCTGTGGGCCCTCTAGGCGTGGCTGCGCGTAGACAACATTCCACACGGGGCAAGGAAGCTTCTCAGCGATTTGAGCATTGGTTCTGCGGATGAGCTGAACTCTGCGAACGAGATTTGGGTTGCCGTTGATCGGGGAGGAGATATGTTGGAATGGAACGAAATGCTCTTCGTCTATGACGAAGTCGTTGAGAGTATCGATTCCGGGTCGACACTCCGGGCCAAAGTTATGGGCGGCTTGGAGGAAGAGCTGGGGAAGCATCTTGTATGGACCCGACATGCTTATGTCGTACAAGTGAGGGGTGGAAGTTTTCAGGTAGTAGATTGTGTCCGTTTCCTCTTCTGCTGACGGTGGAGTGTTCTCTTCAGAGTCCTTGAACGCTTTGGCCATGCGCATCATGTCAGCGAGACTCATGCGCATGGTCGTGCGAGTGCGTCCTGTTGAGCTGCTGGCACTCGCTTGTCCCTGCTCCTGCTGCTGCTGCTGCTGAGACTGGCACTCTGCCTTATGTCCCTTCCAGTCTCGACGCTGACAGTTCCTCGAGCAATAGGACACTCTTCCGCAGCCGCCACAGCTCCTCAGGGGCTGCGCGATGGCTGACGAGGCGACGTGACAGCGGGCACACGACGCGTTGAGGGTGTTTGTTGAGTTCATCGTGGAGTACGAGGTTGTCTGAGGGCGAATACGTTCTTCAATGCTGTGACAGGAAGCAGATGGATCTTAAGGCATGTCGATGAAAACTCTGCAAGTGCAAGCCCAGCCGTGGGTGTCTACTCCGTAGCGGAGATTGCTCTAGCGCTAAACCTAAAATGGGACAACAACAAGATTGAAGTGAAGAAGAAGCCGCAAAATCATCGAACAACATCTAAACTACCTCAACAGAATATGTTTCGGCCGTCAAAATCCCTATCGAGCTATGGAGCCCTTCCATACAACTTTTACCAAGAAGTGTCCATATATGGACATCGGGTGTCCATGTGTGGACAGCAAGAGGCAGAATGGACAGTACACACGACATGTGATCTGTCCCTGTCGCGGACCCATCTCGCCATCAGGACCAGCTCCGAGGCAGAATCTGGTGCAAAATAGCGTTTGATGGCGAATACAGTGGTGAAAACAGTACAAGGCCAATCGGCCGCCAAACGATCAGTCTCTGTGTAACATGACACCTCTCAGATTTGGGCGTTGGACTTGCAGCGGCACCACGCGGACAGAATTGTAGGTGCGTAGTAATTACATACCGAGCACGTTCGGACGGGCATGGAGCTACAGGGTCAAGCGGCTAAGTGCGAACGAAGGCCTCTCATCACGTTGCCCCCTGTAGGTTTAGGTTGAAATATTCGACAAGCGCCATGTCAGTGATACTGCTCTCAGCCAGAGCCTGTAAGCAATGGGATGGGTTCAAAAATGCTCAGTAGCTTTAACGCTATTGCGTGAAGATCTAGCCTGCCAGGGGTGACATTCAATCTCTCATCGGTAGTCCTGTTTTTGTCTCTACGACTGTATACTGATTGATTGGTCTTAAATACCCTCGCTGTGATGAACCTTAAACAACAGCATATCCCTATCTCCTGTTTTCTGACACTCGAACTCTACTCCTCCCACTCATATGTGCCACAGAGTATATTCAAGTATTAGCATGCCCGACCACGAGCACAAGGTTCATGTCCATCACTTAGCAGCCATCATATCCATTCCTTCTCTTGTACTCTTTGTATCGCTACTTCACCAGCGGTTGACGCATCGCGGCATAACAGTTCGCCTTGCAGTGTTCCGGCGTTTCTGTGATGCTCCAGTAGAGCCACTCGTGCATATTTCGACCTAGCGAGGAGGGAAGCTGTACTCGGGACGACTGAAGGGTTTAGTGACACCTGTAGTTGTCAGTCTCATGCACGTCCTCTAGTTGCAGGGCTTTGACACACGGAGAAGATGATTACTCACTGCGATGATTGTGGGGTGCGTGCACCTTGCAGCCCTCAATCAGGCTCGCTGTATGCAGCTGCACGCATGACAGGTTTCATGTCGCGTCGTATAGCAGACCACTGCGCAGTCCTAGAGCACTCTTTCGGCTACGGCCCATCACAGTATCGTTCGGCGAAGGAAGTATGCGTCTCACCTGGAGGACAAAATAGACATGAGTGCGTGTGCTGGTCTCCGTGGACGTGACCGGCAGGCCTGAACAGTTGGCAAGCGATGGAGGAGGTCGCAATGAACGGTGGTTCTGTTGCCAGACAAGATTCATAACACATGAAGTGGGTAACTGAACATGTTCAATGTCCGATGAACATGTTCAGGTGTGGGTGAACATGTTCCATTGTCACGTGATACGAACTCTGCGGGAGGCACGCCTGCCACGGCAATTGCACGCGTGCTAGGTGCAGTGCACGCGTGCTCAAGACGATATAAAATGTCGAGTATGGACGGTCAGAGTCATCATGACACCTAAAACGACCTTCGAGCGACGGTTTTGGAATAACACTTGTTTGTACGTGACAGACTACTATGACCCCGATTGTGAACGGTCAATTACTCACATCGTCCAATTCCACCTCTTGGCGGCTTACATGCCCTGAATTTCATATATGACTCTTGGTGTCATATATGACTTTCAGCGTCATACCTGCCTTTCTGTATTATGTATGCGTTTTGTTGCCATGCATACAATTCAGCGTCATCTCTGTCTCATGGTGGCCAACTTTGAATCAGGGCAGTCAGCTTTGGACTCTACCATCCAATGTTGGACGAAGTGAATTCGACACCCAATAAATCTGGTGCGCGGTCACCTACCATGAGGCCCCTGACTTCCGCTTTCTGAGATCCATCCGGCGGCGAGTGCTCCTGGTCATAGACCTTTTTCCCCGGAAGGGTGTCGTAATCACGCTCCACTCACATTGATACACCAATGCTACAATACAAACCACTGCATAGCTATCTGAAAGCTGCTGGTCCAGACTGGCTGATGGCGCTATAGATCAACATCCTTCACTATGCTCAAGACTGCAGGGAAGTTTCTGTTGCTGTCAAACACATGACGGAAGACAACTTTATTTATACGCCTAGAATCTACCAAAAGTTGAATGTGTTGAACATCCCCCTGCTAGACACATATCCATGTTGCTGCTTATTATCATATATCTGGCCGCTTGAATTGCGTCCTAGCAAGGCCCACAGCCTTCTCGATAAGCTAGTCCACACGACAACACGGAATCATAGTTGCCAGTCATTATATCCTATTTCCCAGCGGTTCACAGTGCGCAGCCCGCTCGGCTTATACGCTCTACATGTGATCCAGGAGAATTATCTCAGCATTTGCCTTGGTTTGATTAAAGGGCGCTTTTTCAACAAACACGCCCCACTTCAGTATCTTGCCCGAAACCTCACGAACCGTGCCCTGAAAAGCGTCTGCATCCTCCCTTGTCTGTGTCATATGGAGCGACTCGCCCATCTCTGCAAGCAAGCTACCCAATTTCTGCGTCGCGGCAGCCTCTGCTCTGCTCTTGCTCTCAGAAGAACCATGAATATACATGTTCCTTGCCATAGGGCATCCTGGCTCGGGTTCGTAAAAGAAGACGTTCCAGACCGTACAAGGCAATCTTTCCGCGAGTTTGGGGTCCTCTCTACTAATGCACTCGACTGTGGCCTCCCATTTGAACTTGCGATCAATAGGAGAGGAGATTCGTTCGAAGGGGATCAGACAGCCGTCCCGATCGACGAAGTCTTCGAGGCGTCTTATCCCAGGTTGAGAATCTCTCCCGAAATACTGTCGTGCTTCGTGGAAGACCTGGCTGAGGTATTTGTAAGGACCGCTAATCATCATATCCCGCAGAGGAGGCTCGTAGGTAGTCACGCAGGTTCTGAGGTAGTAAATAGAGTCCGTCGGCTTATCCTGCGATGTTGGTGCAATGAATTGGCTGGTGATGAAAGTCTCAGATGTGTGCAGGTTTGAGGAGTCTCCGGTACGCTGGTCACCAGAAGGGTGCGCGGATGCATGATTGGCAATGGACTGTTCGTGCTGTCGTTGCTGCATCCGACAGTTTTCTGCCTCTCGTGCCTCCTGCGCCTCACGTGCCTCCCAAGGCTGCTTTCATCGCAGTATCACCTCTGCCAAAATTGGGGCAATCGCTTCGCATCGGGGACAGCCGCTAGTGAGAACTCGCATGCTGCTACGAGTGCGGCAGCGAGCGCAGAGATCGTCATTAGACCAAGATGCATCCATCGTAGCAGGTCTGGTATGGGGGAGCAATGATGGTGGTGATGATGGGAGCGAAGCTCTCTTGACACTGCCTTGTGCCCAGACGCAGCGCAAGGCGTTTCGCAAGGATGACTCTTGCGGCGACGCAAGTGCCACCGCGACCAACGGCCACGGGTCTGAGAAGGAGGTAGTCCTGAAAGAGCTCGGATGGAACGCATGTCAAGAAGAACAAGTGCAAAACTTGCAAGTGCAGCGTTTTATCAGCAAGCAGGGAACATGCCTTCGGCCCTAAGCCCAAAACGGTAAGGCGGAAATTGGTCCAAGTGAAGCACGCGTGCCAAACCGATTGCACGCGTGCAAACCAAAATGCACGCGTGCCGCGTCAATCAATTCTCGTTAACCTGGAGAGTCAAATTTAGTTTGATCACGTCAAAAGAACTCGGCCCTTACCTGCGCTAGCGCTTCAATATTCACTACAGTGCACATTTTCATGTAGAAAGCAATCAACTTTTGGTGGTTCGCTATGGCCTACAGCACATTTCCTCGCGCTGGAACCGCTCGAACCGATGTTTATTTACAAGTTCATCCAGGGCCATGATGTGATGGGGGTATCTTCAAAGTCCACACACCTCACGGCACCGCAACTCCCTTCCTTCAAAGCAAAAACTTTTGTTGTCCCACCCTTTTTTGGTTTTCCATTTGCGCCGTTCATCCCAAGTGCAATGCAGTACAGTTCCCAATGCCAGTTGCAATCCTCTTGTTCAACCCAGCGCCAAAAAGTGAAGTGCAGACCGAAGCTTTCGATCTCTGCTCCATTTAGCCTGCTCTTCTCCCTTATTGTTCAATTGCCAATCTTCCCTTATACTGCCCATACAGTCTCTTGATCATATGCAATCTCTGTCTCCAACTGCTCGGATACTCTCCCATATCGCCTGCCTGCCACATGAGCGAGAAGACACAAGCGTTCAGCGCCAGGTTCCGCACATAGCCACCAAGACTGGCCCCGCTAATGACCTTCACGTCCACTGCAGAAGACAAGCTGGGAAAGCCAGGACGACTGAGGACCTTGACATTGTAGAATCGCTCCTGCTTCGGCTTGTTGCAAGTGATCTCTCGAGCTTGAAGGAAAGACGTGCGCTCCGAGGGCGAGATGACAATGTAGACGTAATTGAATGCAGACGGAAACGTGTTGAAGTTGAAGTCGGATCCAGAATTGTTGAACACGATGTTCACAAAATCGTTTCCAATGTGTCGTTTCTTGTTGATGACAGCAAGTTTCGGATCCTCGTTATTCGGCATGAAAGTCGTGATGTGGTAGACGAGCTCCGTAACCTCGTTGTTCCACACCATGGTGTAAGCGCCATCCATGTCTTCTGCTCTGTCCAGGCCTTGCGAGTTGAAGGTGGCTCCTTTCAGCTTGCGCAGTGATCCAAGATCGTCCAGAAATTCGCGGTAGTCAGGCGTGCCCGAAGTGTTGAGCAGTATCTGATTCTCGTCGGTCTGATCTTCTCCTACGAAGATGACTCCCGCTTTGTGAGAATCGAGTGCAGAGACTCTGTCGAACGTCTGTATTGCACGAAGCACCGCTGGGTCATCGTCTTCGTTGGGTAAAGTGATGATCTTGTCCGAGCCCAGCGCCGAATATGGTCGTGGTATGGCAACTTTGCCATATATGCGTCCATCGGTGTCGTCCGGGAAAACATTCAGGAAGTCTTGGTGATTCGTTTCGAGCGTCACTGACGCCGTGAGAGTTTCGAGCTCGCCCGGCTGGCATCGCTCCTTCTCGGTCCTATTGGCCAGCACGCGTCGCGCTGTTCCTGATGGTCGTCTGATAGTGACAACAGTCTTCCCAGTCCTCAGAGCGGTCTCAGTCGTAATCAGCAGTATGCCAGTAACACGATGCAATTTGACGATGCGCCCATCGATATCATCGAATGTCTCCATTGGCGTCGGTACCGTCTGTTCCTCGGCATCAATACGATCCATCAAATCAATCGTCACCAAACCCTGCTCTTCAATGTGTTCAGTCCCATCAAGGTCGGTGTACCGCAGGCAACCGCTGATGTACTCCTTCAACCCGTGCCGGTCTTCGCGTCGCAAAGCCATGTACCAAAATGTGATGACATGATGCGCTAGAGCATACACATACTGCGCCATATCTTCGCTGGAAGTACTACTCATGCCAGCACTCTGTTCGCTAGTTGGTGTTCGCTTGCGCTCTAGTGAGGATGTGCTTCTGACCGACTGCAGATAGCTGTGACACACTCCGAAGATTCGCTTGAAGTCCTCGCGACGGAGCCGGTCCTGCAAATCGGCAAAACGTGACAGGCCTGCAAAGAACTCGAGGACATAAATTGCGAGTGACCTCTGCGTGACCATCTTTGCCATCTTGTTGATGACGACGTCCATGTAGCTAGCCATAAGCTCGGGCAGTTCGTAGCAGCAAATTGTCAGTGCGTGAATGCAATGAATGCTTGGAGCGTAGTCTCGCGAGCCCGCAACATTGATGATAGTAACGATGGCCAGCTTCACGTCACTCCTGGGAAGGCAGTAATGGTAGCTGATGATGGCAGTGAGGATTTGGATGAGCTGAATTATGACGTACGACTTGCTGAGGTCGGGAAGCGGTGGCTCAACGAACGAGTCCGCCTTGAGCAGATCACAGAGCGCTTGTCGTAGCAGATTCATTTGACGGAAGCTGCCTTTCCACAACACGTGATTGCGAATGAGAGCTGGAAGTGAGACCAGTACGGCGTTGTAGACATCCCAGCGTTCAGGCGGACGAACCAGTAAGTCGTAAATTGCATCGACCAGTGCTTCGAGTGACAGACTGGACAGGCCATAAAGCTGATTGAAACGAGCAGAGCGTCCAGTGGGTATTTCTGGCTGTTGGACACGAGTTGCGTCCAGATATCCTTCACCAGCGGCATCTGCTCGAATGCTGAGCACGAGCTTTGTTGCTTCGACGCTGTGTCTCGCTGCCTGGCACAGGAGTGGAAACAGCCAGTTTCGTTGACCTTCCCACTTCTCCTTCTGTGTCTTGTGACAAAAGATTCTGACAATGCCCTTGGCGAGAATGTCCTTGGTTGTTGCCGTAGTGGTGGTGCTTTGAATCATCTCCTGAAGTGCGTCCACAAAATCTCTTCTTGCTCCCAGATTCTCGGTCTGGAAGTATGCAGACACGCTCAGATTGATGAAGGCGTCAAGTTCGTCAGGATACAACAACGAGTCACTCAGCTGGACGAGTAGACCACGATATCCTTTCTCCCACATGTCGTATTCATCGAGCATGAGTGCGCGATGCCACGGGGCAAGTAGTTGACCTGCAAGTGAGGGCGGAAGCGGCCTCCGTACTTCGACAAAGATCTGCGCCATATCTGGTTGATGCCGTAGCTCGAAGGAGGAGAGTCGGCGCTCCAGGCCCAGGAACAGCGTCTCAACCGCAGTCTTGTCCAGTTGCTGCGTCACACAATCTTCTATCAGGTCCAAGCTGAGTCCAAGGCCGCCATCGTTGACCAGCTCCTGGAAGACCTGGTCAGCCTGCAACATGGTACCAAGCATGAGAGCGACGTGTTCGCGTAAGATGGCATTCTTCCGAACAGGACAGTTCCACAGTCCACGAACAAGCTGTATCGCATTCATAGATGGCACATTCTCTTCGCGCGAGGGAAGTAGCTTATCAATGGTAATGAGAAGCGCTCCAATTGCCGCGGAGAACTTGTACTTGTCGTGGAAGTTTTCATGGCTCGTGATGATGTCCAACAGCGTTTCCTTGAATTGACCTCCGTGGTGGGATGCAAGCATATGCTGCGAGACCGTCCATGCCTGATGCATGAGTCTTCTGTGTCGATTCATACGGCCGCCTTGGTAGTATGCATAGGATATGAACTGCACTGCTGGACGCAACTCCGGGATAAGTGAGTATGTGACAGTAGTGTCGATGAGGGTCAATGCTGCATAAAAGTCGGAAGTCGATGAAGACAAGCTTGCGGCGTTGAGGGCGGACTCCAGCAAAGTGCCGAGTGCAGCAGGTGCGAACCACTTGGCGTGGAACTGAATGGAAGTTGATGTTTCCTGGAGAAGCTGGGAAAGAGGCGCCTTGCCAGAGATGACTGGAGATGCGTGGGCATCATCGTGGGCAGGGGCATTGTGGTTGATGATGGCCTGCGTGAGACGCGCACACAGCGTGGCCTCGTCGGGAGCTATATCGCGGTGGTTCTGGAGGTCCATGGGTTTGAGGCCAGTTCCGTTGACATGAGGGTGATGGCCGGAGAGAATTGTGCTGCGCGAATGTCAGTTCGTCTGCGCCTGAAAACTATCTACCATCGGCTTGAGGCAATGTTTGGCAGTGAGTGAGCGGGGGCAAGTTTGAAGAACAAGTGGAAGACAATGCCATGACGTGCTTGGGCGCGAGGCAGCCAGCCGTTGAAGTTTGCAGACTGAGGCTGCCATGAGGAAGTGAAGTGCAGCAGCCTCGCCAACGGTCGCCAACTTAAGGCTGCGGATTCGGCTCCCGGCTGGTCACCTGCATCGTCTGCAACATGGAGGTATTGGAATGACGCCAGCAAGCGGCTCTGCTGTGTGGCGTGCAGATGAGCATGCAGGGGTGTAGGGGTGGAAGTGAAGACAGAAAACGCGTACCTGGAGGTGGGCGTGTGATGGCTGCTCCCCGACATGCTCGACAGCGGCCGCCATTCCGATGCTGCTGGACGAAGCGGGCCATGCTGTTGATGCCCGTCCATGAACACCGCACGACGGTGGGAGGTCGATTTCTGCGGCAGAGCACGACAGAGGTCTCATCGTTGGCTGATAAGTCTTCCAAAAGACTTCAGAACCGCAACAGTGCGTTGGTCCAAACGGGCAGGTGTTGCCTGTGGCTCGTTATATCGCCCACGTGAAGGCTTCTGTCATGGTGGATGCTTGATTGCTGCCAGCACGGTCCCGGCGGATTGAAGCGGGTCAAGCAGGACGAGGGCCTCGTCGCCGCCGAAAACTGTTCTCGCTAAAGTCGGTCTCGCTTTTGTCCGACAGGGCTCGGCCCGTGGAAGCTCGGCTCGACCACCGCGGTCGGCGCCGACCAACCTTGTGCTTGAGCCTCACCACACCACGCTCCACTCTCTGCGATTGTTGCTGCGAGCTCGTGCATGCTGATTGCTACCCGCGTTCGCATGCAACGGCGAGAAGCAGCAATGCACTGCTTGTACCGGGTCCGACCGCGAGGCACTGCTCCAGAGCATGCGGGCCTGCGGTAATCCTCGCTGTCATGGATCACTTCTCGCCCGTCGCGGGAGCCCATATCCGCGCCCTCGTGCTCCCGGTAGGCAGCATTGAACGCGATCGCTTCTTGCTGTTCGTTCACAGGCTGCAGCGAGAAGCCAGCCTCATCCCTCTCGCAGACGTCGCTCCGTATGCCGCCGACGATGGCCACCTCTTGTCACCCAAATCCTCCAAGCAAGGCTCGCTGCTCTACCGCTTCTCGCCCTCGGCTCCCTCCGAACAGCTGCTGCAGCTATCGCCGTACGAATTGTTCCGCGAGCCGCTGCTGGTCATTGGCGTAGTAGATGGATTGACAGGAGACGAGGATGCGCAAAAGAAGGAGCTGGACGGGGCAGCTGCATATCTGAAGGAGCGTCATCCACGTGTTGTTCACCGACAATTGGTTGTGCTACAGCAGGAAGACAGTGAGAGCACATCGAGCATAGCAAAAGCAGTCACAGTGACAGACATCGACACATTCCATCATCCTTCGTTGCGAGCAGCCATTTGCGACATCTCGGCACGCTTTTTGGTTGAGTTTACCACTTACGCCAAAGCACTGCAGGCTTCGCCCTCCATACAGACTCCAGGACAGACCGCTCGCAGCTTGCAGCGTTCGAACTCAATTCGCGAACATGACAATCGATCCAACTCGGGCATGTCCAGCCCAGCAGACGAGGGCAGCCCGTCCAGGCCACCACCAAAGGCTCCTCCACTCCCGGCTACCTCGTTCGATCAGATACCGAGCGCGAACGCCATGCCGACCACCCGCGACCGATCGGACAGTAGGGGAAGCAGTCAAAGCGGGCCTGCCAAAGCCAAAGGTCACAATCGCAATTCGAGCAATGACCGCATTGCCCTGCAAGGTTTTGGCTCTGGTGCCTCTGCCGAAAAGTCGCGTGCCAGAGGCAAAGCACGTGTGGGCATTGTCCTCGCCTCGATCTATATGATGGCTGGTCGCTGGAGCGATGCCTTGCCCATGTTCGTCGAGCACACAAGCAAAGCTCGTGCGTTGTCAGACCACCTCTGGCATGCCAAAGGCCTCGAGAACTCCATGTTGTGCTTGTTACTGCTGGCGTGGGCGGGGATCGAGTTTCAGGTGCCTTCCATATGCGATCCTACGACTGAGCGTGCAGGATCGTCCACGATCGCGCGCGCAAGTATTGATGCACGTCTTGCCGCCGAAGGGATGCAACGACAGATTGTTCGCTTGTCCGTCGCGCTCCCCGATCTGTGCAAGCTGATTGTCAACCTATACCGCTCTCATGAAGGAGCTCTGGAGTTGCCTACCATCGTCCCGGCCGAAGCAACAGTACGTGTGTCCAAGCTGCTTGCGACTCTTGGGGCCGCACGAGGTGAGCTGTCGCCTTCCAGACTGCAGTCGATCATGGTCGGCCACACTGGCCAAATTGGCGGACAGGACCAGAAGCCCATCAAGATCGTGCAGCCTCTCGGACGGCCACGACCTTATTCCAGGATGGCCATCGCAGAGCTACTTGCTCAAGCACAGCCCAGTACCGACGACCCCCTTCCAGCTGCAGACCATGTTCGTCTTCTTTCTGGCATTGCAGCGGCATACGATATGCTTGGCCTTGAACGGAAAAAGGCCCTCACAACGAAAGATCTAATCGCTCGGCTGACACAGGCCTTACTGCAAGCAAGGAAGCTCGGCGCTGCCGAGATGGGGATTCACCCCGCTGCAGCGCTGTCTGTGGAATCTGGGTCTGAGTCAATATTGTCTTCCAGTGGTGAGATGCGCGGCATCAACGATATGATTGCCGAGCTTTGCGCAATATATGGTGCGAAAATCCTTCCCGCAATCCGGCAAGAGACGCCAATATTTGCAGACATCAGGAGCTATGGCAACGACAATCTGAAAAGAGATTTGTTGAAAGAGCTTGCTCACTTCAGCGAAGCATCACCAGATCCGCATGGCGTCCTGGCACTCACAGCATCTCTCCTTCGTGCTGCAGGCCCCAACTCAGCTCTTGATGCAGGGACCAGTGACATCGCGAATGCTTTCTCGCGCGAAGAGCAGATGCATTACGCTACAGTGATCAACCGGACAGTCGCAGTGTCCAAACATCTCGGCCTTACAGATGTTCATGCAGTCTACTGGGATCCCTTCCTCGTACGCATGGTGCAAATTTTGCAGCCTACTGGTAAACGGACAGTCATCGATAGGACGAAACTAAACATGGCGCAAAAAGCTGCCAACCAGCCAATCGCGCCCGGCAATCCGCTGCTCTATGATCCCAGCGCAAGTAGACCTGGCACTGCAGCGCAGGAAACATTCCTCCTTGTCGCAAACGAGCCCTCAGAATGCATCATCACCCTGCAGAACCCTTTCGACATTCCCGTCGATATTGAGTCACTCGAGCTGATCACTGAAGGCGCAGAGCTTGCTTCAGAACATCAGCCGACAACACTTGGGCCATTGAGGTTCCAGCAGGTCACGCTCATGGTAACGCCCAAGTCCGTTGGCATAACAAAGATCACTGGCTGTTACATTAAATTACAAGGCTGCTACCCACAGGTATTCCCAATCGTTACGACTTCTTGGTCAGCCCAGGCCCCACTCACTGTGGAGGACCTTCAGAAGCAGTCGCATCAGGGGTCCGATATGGAATCAATGGAAGCGAGGTTGAAGAGCCTCGGCATTGAACCGGGCTACGTCTCTGCTACAGTGATAGACGATCTTCCAGTCTTGCAGCTGGAGAACACCGCAGCATTAGAATCCGGGTTGATGCTGCTGGAAGGTGAAAGCAGGTCCATTGAACTGATTCTCCGCAACACGAGCAACATCACAGCGACAGTCTTTGAAGCCACGGACACTGCCGATGTCCTCCAAAGAGATGACGAGCACAAACTCAAATTGCGAGGTATCAGACACAAACGTTCAAAGTCCTTCTTGCCCACAACAACAGTAGCGCCTGGAGAATGCACCACTTTCAAGTTTCGAGTCGAAGGCAAGGCTGGCCTCTCAAGCACACAGGCCAATTTCTACTACCAAGCAAGCAACAACCTCAACGGGAAACATGCCCGCGTCGTTTCCGTCCCAGTAATCATGACTGTCAATGCTGCTCTGCAAGTGCACAATCTCGAAGTCCTGCAACCCGGCCAGCACGATGACCCCTCCGCGCTCCTCGTGTCATTCGACATCCGCAACGCATGGCCAAAATCTGTTCTGTATGAGTGCTTCGAGAAGACTGCACGTCGACTCGAATGGCGTCGAGATGACACTGAAGGTCCTTCTCAAGACATCCAAGATGGCCAACTTGCGCCTGGCGAGATCAGGCGTGTCTACCTGACCCTTCAGCATGACAATAGCGCGCTCGAGAACTACGAAGAGGATTCCGAACTCGCTCGCACACGGTTCCTAGAACAATTGCATGTCTCCTGGCGAGTGGAAGAACACAGTGGATACGTCGACCTTCTTGGTCTTCCACTATCAGAGCAAGCACTGGACCTCGTGAGAGGAGCGCCCGTGAGCGTGAGCACCAGCATGGTACCAGACGCCAAGGACATCTCCGTTGGAACCTACGTCAACATCACAGCCACCGTCCGCGACCGCTCTCGGAAACGGAATCTACTCCACGAAGAGCAAGAACTTCTCTCAGTCGAGCTCTCTTCCTCTCTCGATCAACAGCAAGCTTCACGATACTTCGCTTTCGCAGGTAATCTGAAGAGGGTTGTATCTCTGAAAGCACCGAAGACACCAGATATCAGGATAATGAGCTCGGAGGAGTCGCCTGGACATGCGCCGGATTCTGCTGTGGAATCTGCTGCTGCAGAGACCAAAGCTGACTTCGTTATCTGTCCGCTCTTGAGGGGCAAGTTGGATTTCGAAGTCGTTGTGAGGCCTGTTAGGATTGGGAGGATGATGACTGAGGGGATGGGTCGTGAGTGGATTGCGAGGAAGGGAATGCTGGTTGATGTTGCGAAAGCATTGTGAGATCAAGTGCACGTGTGACATATCCATGGTGGCAGATTAATGCACATAGCGGTCAAAAAGGACGTCGAAGTCGAATTATATGAAGGGTGTCCATGAAGGGGTCCCAGGACTATCAGACCAAGAATGGGGAGCCTAGTTCCAGGACCTCGGTTTCGGATCAGATGGCCGAGCTTACGCCCACTGCACCACAGCTGCACAGCAAATTGTTTGACATTGCTACAAACAGTCATCAAACAACCCATACGCCATCAAGCCAGCTACTGATCGGTCAAATTTGTAGCAAAAGAGTGCTTGTTTGCGGTCTGGGCCTTTGTCTCACTTGCTCACAGACTGCCTTTTGCACTTCTCAACTCGACATGTCCACCTTTGGTCCTTTCCTTCTATACTACTTAAATTCACCGGGGATATGTTTCCCAGTTGATCACATATCGCAGCTGCGACTCAGCTTTGGCTATACCCTACTCCGGAATCTCTTATATACCCGCAAGCTCTGTCCTCAAGACCATCTCGACCTTCTGAACAACATCAATGACAAGATCTCGACGGAAATCAACCAAGGCCGTATGTCTCTTTGCGCTGCCTCGGACACCAGCACAAGACTGGTGATGATACCAGAACAGGCTCCATACCACGCTTTCGGTCACCCAAATACCCCATCTCGGCGTCGAAGACGGTCTCACCGTCCTTACCGTAGACCGGTGGAAGTTTAGAGACTCTCGCGAGAGTCAGTACAGTTCGAGAGCGAGGAATTCGAAACAGAATGTATAATCGCTTCCACCTCCATGCTGGGGTGATTGTTACGACTTTCTTCTACGCAATCGGAACTCCTTCATCACCACTCATCATTCCAAGCTTACAACATGTCGACCATAGTCTTCGATAAGTAGATGGCAGTCAGCGAAGACGCCTCCAACTCGGCTGAAACCACCCCGGTCGATCACCGCCTTCCCAACCAGCCTGCCTGCGGCAGCGGTATCGCCACCTAAGCTCACCTACGATTCGAACTCTTAATTATTGGCGAGCCAATAGCTATCGACATCGAGTTTCAGAACTGTTCCTCGAACATAGGTGAAGTGTATGACGAGGGGTGCGAGCACCAACACAAACATGGCCGCCAAAGCTGGTGCTATGGCATCTCATTGCTCGGTACGGTCAGCAGAAGATGCGAAGATGTATCGGACATCTCCGCTTTCTATTCCGGTGACTGGAACGTTCGAAACAAAATTCCTCACGCCTCTGGCAAAGACTACGGCTACCAACATATTCTGTTAACACCACAATCCGCTTCGCCAGGAGCCCCTCACTGGCAAAATCGGTCATTGCTGCTACCTGTTCGCTCAATCAGGCTGATCCACCTGCTTTAGTCCAGGGTATGGCTGACGGAACATGGGATACCACATTCCAGTAGCCGTACAGCCGGGCAATTTTGCAACTCTTACTACAGTCCTACTCCCCGAAATCATGATCATCATCCGAGGGCACAATGACTTGTCCAACTTGGCATCAGCCAACCGTCGCCTTCCTTACGAAACCCTTTGTTTTGCGGGTGGGATGTCTTTGTCAAAGGCTCTCACAACAAAGATACACACAACATGATTGAACAGATCCACCAGACCTGGATCCTCTAGAGACTGTGTTGACTAGACTTCACGGGACCTTAGTGAAGCTTGCCACCCAGAGCTGGATAAAGTGAATGTTCGTGATATTTCTTGTTCACGCTGACTGCGAGGAGGTTATAAGTTTCCTTCATTTCTTCTGCTCCGTCGATACATCTTGTTCAACAGCGCTTCACAGCGATCCGAATTCGTAGATCGAACTCACAAGCTACAACTGCTCAACAAGCATCGAACACTAACTCAACTCATCCACGATGAACACGCAAACCACCACGACCCCGTCCACTGCTACTGCTGCAGCCAACATGGTGTTTCAACGCTGGAACACCGCAAAGGCAGATCCGATGAATGCAGCACAGAACAATCCTGCAGTACTGCGTACTCCAAACGCACCATCCGCTGGCAAGGGTGTGGGTACTCAAGTCGTCCCACGCATGGAGCTCCTTCTGCCAGGAGAACCCTGCTCGATTGATATGGAGTTCATCAACTTCCAGGTCCCCGGCGTTGTTCACCCAATGGACCACAATGACGAGTCAAAGCGCAACAAGCCAAAGTGGGAACACCGCCCAGCATGGATAGCCATCACGAATACTAGAGGCGAAGTCGTCCTTGACATCTTCGTCAAGTATCCTTACGTAGAGGGTGTCCGAACGATAATCCCGCGTGCCGAAGGCAAAGATTTTGGTATCACTCAGGAGCGCCTTGATCACGCGAATGGTGCTGTGCCTGGCTGGAAAGCAGAGCAATGGTGCACTCGCATTTTGAGAAACCGTCCTGTGGTCGTCCATGGTGGCGGCAGCGACCTGACAGCTTTTCAGCTGTCTCGTCCGTTCCGTGGCGCCACCCACGTCTACGATACCCAGGACGAGTATGCGTATGAAGTGGACAACATCGAATCTCCTGGCTTGTGGCGGCTCACAGGAAAATTCCTGAACAGGATCATTCAAGCGGATGGCAAGCACTCTCCTGTGGAGGATGCTATCGCGACGATGGAACTACACATTCTCAAGCACCCATACGATCGTGATGAAGCTGCACAGAAGTGGAAGGCTGTATGGGCACCCCCTCAACGGCACCACTCTGGAGGCTATGCTCGCGGCCGGGGCAACCATGGTGGCGGTCTCTCGCGTGGTGGTGCAGCTGGGGGTCGAGGAGGCTTTGCCAGTGCTCGTGGCAACCAGACTGGTGGCAGAGGCTCACGAGGCAACGGGGCTATGAGAGGTTCAGCGACTCCTCGTGGCGGTCTGAACATCGGTCGGGGCAATCGCCAGCATCAAGTCAATGGGAATGGCAACGCCCAGACTCCTAACGCAGTGGCGCGGCCTGCTGTCAATGACCAGTGGTAGTTGAAGAAGAAGCGCGCGCAAACAGGTATCCCTGACACTCGCTAGTTGATCGGCGCTGGGCGTCATCACAACAGACAAAAATCGCAACAGTAATCTCCCTCCTTCATTCTCTCGTTCTGCACAATCTCATACTTGTGACTAGTGTCTCTTATGCTTTCTGACCGCCAGGTTATTCTCACTCAGTGTTCTCATGTAAAGTTGCTCTCGTTGTCCGGTGGCGAGAATCTCCTTCGTGGTGGGAAGCGATGGGAAAGAAATACGTACTATCTCGCCGACATTTGCTTGTTCAACGAGCCTCAGTCATGAGCACACAAGGGCTGTTCCATATAGACTACATCGCTTGCGCGTTGATTGTGATTTCCTTTCACTTAGCAAACGGGACAAGTAGCTCAAGACAGTGACATAAGTTGGTGCTCTCGCCTACCCTACTTGCTAGCTAGTCTATTCATTCTACTTTTCAGAAGGACTTCTTCTATGACTCACAGCAACTATACGCGTACGGCATTTGCCAAGTGATCTCAACAGGCTACCAAGCACTCCAAATCTGAGAAGACGATGGTCGTTCACATGCAATTTTATCCTTAAAGCAGTTCTGCCATCGTTCAGAGGATACCCCGTGGTGTAAAGGTGTTCTAGTACGCCCGCATACCCAGCACCACGCTATAATTATGGCTATCGTCAAGTCAAAGCCGTGAGCCGGAGGTGCGTCAACAATGGAGAAGGCGTCAAACACAGAAAAAATCCGGAAACGATACTATGCTGACACCACAGTAGCCGCTGTACATGCCTTGGTCAGCTCACTATACCAGTTATCAGGCCCATTCCATTACATGTCATTCTGCCGCAACATCACGAAATGGCCTCCCAACGAAGGCCCCGCACGGCTCTCTCTTATACTCCCAATACAACAGAGAGGACGAGCTGCATTGCAATGCATTCATTGCCAAGATTTCCTCTACCAGGACAGGGCGGAATGGTGGGCTCATTCACTGCCTGGTGAATATACATGCAGTGAACGGAGTGAATACTTGTGATCTTACAGGTTCGTGTTAACCGTGCGTGCCGTATAAGTTCGGTCCCCATTTTCCTTCTCTCTCCTCCTCTGCTTTCACCGGAACATGGACAAGGATCTGACACCAGTAACAACAAACAATCACCCTTGTACCCGACACTCCACAATACAACTACAACATCCAATCATACCTCTCAACCACCGTCATTACTTCGAGTCCAACAACATGCCGACTCGCATCTTCAAGAACTGGGTGGCTGTGAGCGAGAACGACTCGAACCCTGCCGAGTCCAACCCTCCACAACTTCGACTTCCTAACGCCCCGGCCTTTGGCAAGAGTGTGGCAACCCAGGTTAACCCCCGTTTCGAACTTCTACTTCCTGGCGAGCCAATCGCCATCGATATTGAATTCCAAGACTTCAAGAACAAGGACACTGGCTTCCGCTGGCGCCACCGCCTTGCGTGGTTCGCTGCATTGAACACTAGGGGAGAGACGGTGTTGGATGTCTTCGTGCAGTACCCGCCTGACGAGGATACCGAATTCCAGCTACCACGCGCGAAAGGCAAGACCTTCGGGGTAACCCGCCAGCTACTTACTCTCAAGAATGGCGCTGTCAAAGCCGCAGTCGTCGAGCCCATGTGTGAAGCCCTCTTCCGTGGCCGTCCGGTGGTCCTTCACGGCGGTCAACACGATCTCACGGCGTTTCAATATTGCAACCCCTACCAGGGCGCCACGGCCGTCTTCGACACTCAGCGTCAGTGGGCTGGTGACTCCCAGATACCTGAAGAGAGCAGAGCGAAGCCAGGACTTGCAATTCTGGCCCAATCGGTTCTGGGTCGAGTCGTTCAGGCAAACGGTGCTCACAGCCCGGTAGAAGATGCCCACGCCACCATGGTCCTTCACCTCATGAAGGGCCCTTACGATCGCGAGGCGGAGGCGAAGAAGTGGAAGGGTGTCTGGGAGACTCAGCAGACGCAGCAGGTGCCATACCCCTTGCCTACCATCAACCAGAACTTCAACCAACACTCGACGCGCGGAAACCACACTGTGAGCGGCTCTCGCGGCGGTCACCAGGTCATCAATACCAGCAGCGGCCAGAACGGCCAGATCGTCAGCTTCAATGGCAACATCACTCACAACCACGTCGAAGTGAAGAACTTCTATTCCACAGTCGCTGCTCGTGGTCATCAGGCTGCCACCCGTGCGCGCGCTGGACGTGGTGCGAGTCGTGGAGTTTCTCAGGGTCGCGGAGCTTTCCAAGGCGCTGTTCGTGGTGGTGGGCTTCAAGGTGGTGCTAGCGACAAGCTGAACCAGTGGTAGATGCATTCGGGATGATGAGTTTCACACAAAGCGTGACATGATGGTGATGAAGATTTGCAGGCATTGAAATGCGGGTTGGTCCACCAAAGTCGATCAACAAATTGAGGCATCACGAAACAGTAAAGGCTGCGGCATAGATGGCAAGAGGTCTCGCAGCGCGACGCGCGGCTCTTGCACTAGAAGTCATTCAACGCTTCTGGACATCAAAAAATGAAATAATGCAACGAAATTGTTTTCCATTCCCCTCGTGAACACCGTTGAACTTTATGGATGGATCCTTCAACCCTGTATCTCCTCGTCTGGGTTGTACGGGCGCCACTGCCACGTCGTGATGCTGTTGCCCGTATTGTATGATCCAATGAAGGAATCAGCAACCGCTCTAAGAAAGATTAATTATTTGTTTCGATAAGCAACTCTGTTTCTCGCAGGTGCAAGGAAGATAAGTCTATGAGCAAATAAAATCTCGAGAGTTGGCGCTTCGCCACGCGCAGCAAACTCGCAATAGGAGAATTATTGGACAGTCTATGTACTCATAGATGAAACCTGCTCCAAGAGGTGACAGTGTTTGCAAGCCTTCGCGCTTGAAAGCCTTGAACCTGTTCCACACTTCACAGAAAGAATCTGCCACAGGCCACAGAGTCTCATGTTCATTCCTTGCTCCCAGAGCGCAAAAAGAAGAGAGGCAAGCATTATGAGCTCCGACGCTTGTCATCAGTGACCCTATTCTGTTCCGCCCAGGCAAACACTGCATCGAAGTCTCTGCATTGGTGCTGGTACCCATAACCCGAAACTCCCTTGTCAAGAGGTGGTGCTGCCATCCATCCAAGGGTCGTGTCGCGACATAAGAGCTTGACGCAGATAGTCCCAGCAGTGTTCCACATGCATCGGCTGAATATCGTCAGGTAGTCCCCGTTGCAGGTTGAAATATGATTTCTGGACGTTATACTACACGCCCTGGTGTAAGCCAATGATTGCGTAAGAATAAGGACCACGGAAGCAGTACTTACAAGACAGTGCAACTGATGGAAGACGGAGACCATGCCTTTCTGATGCTTGACTGACAAGTCGAGCCCCGGCATGGGCTGCAGTTGGGTTTCGTTGTTGATATACACAAAACCTTTGCCTCCTGATACGCACACAGGATCGAGGTCAGTAGTTGCGAGAAAAGGGTGCTTTGTGACCGGTACGCACTTGGGATCAACTTCATCCATGCTTCTGTGCCCTCAGCACTGGGCGAGGAGAATATGCGCTCAAACGTGGCGCGCAGTGGATACTTCTGGAGGAAGCCATGATACAGGCGCAGAGCGCTCATGGTGGTCCAACTTCCAGGCTAGCATGATCCCGGCAACGGCAAAAAGCAACGTGCTGGTGGCGAGAAGCGCCATAATCAAGGTACAGATGCGATCATTTCGGCTCGTCCCTGATGATGTTGACCGAGTCGTGCTATGGGCATCGAGCAAGCGGTCCTGCTCCCAGTCTTCAACACTGGGCTTGTCAGTATCGTCCATGGGAATGCGTATGCGCCTGCGCTCTTGCCACCGGCTCCTGCTTTTATAAAACCAGTATTAGGGACCAGTGGATATACCTAGCTTTTGAGAAACGTCTTTGAAGCTCGCTGCCACTTGCGTTCCACTTGCGCTATGCCAGCCGTCCGATTCCCGAACTCATGGATGAGATATTGTGTTATCGAGGTGTCAATAGTCGAAACAAACGCCGGGCAGCGAATGCTCTGCATTGGGAAGTTCGCCGGTCGTCCAAAGGGCAGTCCAGTCGGTAATTTTCCCCTTCTAGTAGCATCGGCATATCAATTTTTTTGTTCGGCCCATGGGTACTTGAGTACGAGACTTCATGGAACATTTCTCAGTTACGATGACGCGGCAAGTGCTACGCACCACCTGAACATGAGCCCGAGTAAACAGCTGAATGACCGGATGGTGCAGAAGTCGTGCTTCCACAGCGAATATCGTTGGCACCATTGCCAGCGGTATTCGATACCCAACAAGCATTGCTACGTCACGACAGTGCGTCTGTTTCAATTTTGTTACAAGGCTGAGCCTGTCACTCCATCCCTGTCCTGGCACCGGTACCAACTCCGAATCTTCGTTGTGTCCATTCTCTGCTCATAATTCCGCCAGCGTCACGAGTAACCTCTTTTTCCACAACCAATCCTAATTTGCAAGTTCCTGGACTTGCTGCTTGTGCCATGCGTCAGTTCTTGATCCAGACGTGGACGCGCGCTTCATGACGAAGTCGCCTGCAGGCATCTCGCAACAAGAGCGGGCTGTTTCGGACTGCTGAGCTGCCTCAGCCTGTCTGGTGCTGGAGCAGCCTCAACAAGTCGCTGATTTTGTGGTCCGGCCAGCGCTTATACGCTTCATTACACCGGCCAGTCATTGATTGTCTTTTGACGATATGCAGCCGTGGCAGGCTGAGAATGCAAAGCATCAGCATGAGTCTGTTATCTTGAACACTTCTGAAGGGCATTTTTACAACGTGGATAACCGTGCTTCGGTATGTTCTAGGACCTACTAGTAGCAATTGGAGTACCAGAATCTGGGGTAGTTCTAGTGCCGAATCCTAGGATGTCTACTATGCACGCCGAGCGTCTGCCGCGAAACCGGCAGGATGCAGCGATTTCGAACGCAAGACTTTCTTGATATAACATCGGGTCTACACACTTGTACGGTTAGTGCGCTCGGGTATTGACAGGCCATGACGGCCACAACACCTCGCCGAAGGAAAGCATAGCTCAATAGAGGCGATTCGCAGAGAGACTCTTAATGGACGCCATTGCTTTCATCGCAGCAGCTAAAGGCCCGGCGGCTCTACTCCTTCCAGCCATGCGTGACATTGTTCCGATACTACAGCGATAATTGACTGGGAAATTTGGATTCGAAAAGCCCCGTAGGCATACCGGCCTGTGATCAGTAGGGATCGAATCGGGGCAAGGGAAATGCGAGAAATCAATCTGACCAAGCGATTGGACCTCACCCTCCGAAGTCATGCTAGCCTCCATGTCTATGGTTGTATTCCTTAGCAGAACGTCCCTCCTGTGCAGCGTATTTGTACACAGATTCCCAATCTTTGCAAATATGAGTAGTAGCCCACCCTTCCGTGCCTGTGCGGTTCGGATCTAGGTGACCTTCGAGAGCAGTGTCACCATGGCACATCACCACTTGGCGTAGATATTCCACGCAGTGGAATACATGTTTGCGCTGCTGGATCAATGGCTCTTCGAAGAATAGACTCAATAATGCGGAACGTATTGCATTCTGCACCATGGCGGACGGAATGATCATGTTAGTGCTGCCAAGTAAGTCTTTGAGCTTGGTGATCCTACTTACGAGGCAGTGAACCTGGTGGAAGACCGAGATGACGTGGAAAGGCGGGTGAGATTTGCTTAGCACCAGACCTGGTGGCAGTATGCGGTCTCCATTATCATCTACGTGGATGAACCCTCCTCCCGCTAATCACGTCTATTAGTAACGCTCTACTTGCCTGCTTTGTTGAGTTTTGGTTACCAGGAATAAGATGCTCCCAGTTCGTGTCCACATCTGCCCGTAGCGATGCGGATGGCTCTTCTGTGCTATCAAGAGCCAGACTTGCGTTGCTCTGAAACTTCACCGCCAAAATCGCGAGGTACGAGCTGCCAGATCATAACGAACAACATCACGGATCGGTCACTGGAGAATGCAAACCTCTCATCTTCTATCTTTTGGGATGTATGCTGCTCAACACTGACAAAGCATAGCGCATCCCAACCTCGCCATGTCCCGCTCGTGTAGAGAGTATGGTGCACTTTCGCAGACAGACGACTCTGGCATCGTGGACATGAAAGCATTTCAAGACGAGGACAGTGAGCCTACTTACATTTGTTCGGGCTGCCAACAACAAGCATGTCAAAGCAGGAGTGGCAGGCGAACAACGGCAAAAATTCTCGGAGGAGCGCTGCTGCTGGCGTCAGTATTTCTCCTTGGCTGTGCAACGACGATCGCCATGTACGTAAGGCGTGGACTCGGCGCAGACGTGTACGATACCGACTTTGCGCCAGCGAGACAGGCGATTGAAATGGAGCAACGGCATTTCACAGGAGCACCATTGTGGGACGATGAAGGGTTGCCGTACTTCTCAGAAGAAGATAAGAAGATTCCGTACTTGGGGACGTCTCCAGTTGCTATTCCGGCTTGGGAAGAGCTGATTAAAGGTGGGTGTATCCTGCAAAGAGTTTCATTTGAGCGGTGTTCTGATTTTGCCACCAAAGACAGGTACTTTCTAGTCACAGAAGAAGAAGCTCGACAGGCGTGGGGAAAGGACTACAAGAAATACTATAGGTATCCAGACATTCCTGGGCATCCTGGAGGATATGTTGGAGGTCTGGATGTCCTTCATTCCCTACACTGCGTGAATGAGCTGCGCAAGCACCTGTTTGACAAAAACCGCTGCGATCAGAACCAGACTGAGCATCAAGAGGCGGTGGATGAATATCACATTGGTATGTGCAAATCAGGAGTGCATGTAACCTATGATCAGGCTGACAATCGTCAATCAGTTCATTGTCTGGAGATGATGCGCCAGAATATTGAATGCAAATCAGACCTTTCACTGGTACCAGCAATGTGGTGGCCCAGCCTCAAGAATGGCACTGGTTCGTCTTTCATCTTCTCGGAGCAAACGCACACATGCCGCAACTTCGAGAAGGTCCGTCAATGGGCATCTGGAAGATATGCTCGTACGAAGAGGATGGGGAAGAGCAAACATCTGCCACCTGAAAATGTGTGAGCGGTCGTGTACGCTGGGGACACATGTACTGTACTATACACGTCTTTTACTCTGACCTGCCAATGTCCTCTGCTCGCTGAAAATAGATCCTCCAACGCCTTGCGCAGCTTCCGCTAGTCTGTTGCATTCTTCCTGCACGGATCTATGTTGACATTTGAGCGTCATCAGACGGGGGTCCATCCAAGATGGCCCGCAACCAGTCGAAGAGCCTGACGACCTCTCGGAAAGAGAGTCGAGCTTTCGCTCTAAGCGTTCAAGGAGTGGCTGCAGCAGACCATTCGTGTCCATTAGTACCAAGTATGCGCTGAGTAAACGTTGTGCCTTTGGGTCAAAATAACGGCCACCTGAGTATGACCACGCTCGCTTGTTTGACAATTGCTGCCCTGCAGCAGGGTCTTGTTCTAAGCAGTAGTTGACGGGACAATCCGATTTCAATATTGAGTCATACGAAACCAGTGTTTGTCTGATGATCAGATATGTGAGATCCCAAAAGTCACTTCGTAATGAGCCAGGAAGATCCAGAAAAGCCTCGATTTGCCACAGGGCTTCTTGAATATGTGTTACCCGCCTATCAGGGTCCGGTGACTGTGACTGCACTTCATCGTTGTCGCCATTCGCAGCGTTGTAGCAAGAGAGCTTCGTGAGTGATCCAGATAGGAGGCTAAGCGCCAAAGTCTCGCAGCGATCTTTCCGCAGAGGATCGTGCACCAAAGCACTGTCGAAAGTGCCTTTGCTTTTCTCAGGTTCCTCTGCCGATTCTGCCAAATCATCAGGCAGACTCTGCGGAAGAATTACGGATTGAGGGGTAGGCAACGCATCATATTGAAGGTCGCATGTCCCCGGAGCAGACTTCGATGCGTGTTCGTCGTTATTGGGGCAAATTCCCGCCAAGGTCTCTAAGGCATCGATCTCCGAGCAGTCGTGCTGATTCGACCAGTGTTCACTAAACGTGAAGTCCCAGTCAGCATCATATTGTGGTAGTGACGAAGACGTCCAAAGCTGATCAAGCGGTGGTGTTTCGCTCTTCGAAAGATCGGGTTCAACATTATCCACTGCGTCGCACTGAACACCATCTTTCTCCGATTTGCCGTCCTCAGTCTCTCTGCCAAGTGTCCTTCGATCATTTTTTCCAGAGCGATTTCGTGGGCCGCGTCGCTTGCTGGGCATGTAGGTGCAGGAGACTCCCTTTGCATTGCACCTCTTGCATGCGGGGCGTTCTGCGCCACAGCGAACCTTTTGCCTGCTACAGGCATTGCAAGATCGGCGGACATTGGTTCCTCGGCTGAGAACTCGAAATGTATGAGGTGGAGCAGAGCTGCCGTCGAGCTGGGAGACATATCTAGTCTCTGGTGATTCGTTGATCCAGATGATGTCTTCCATGTTGGTCACTGTGGAGAGTGGTTTTCTGCCTCAAATATTGATTATAGCAGCATGCTACCCAGGGAGTCCTGATGGGAAGGCTTCTAAATACTCTACCTGCTCCAAGCTAGCTATGTGCAGCTGCCGATCTGGAGAAGACCATGATAAACTCGCACGAGGTTTCCAAGGTAGTGGAGTAGATTCGACAGGCAGCCCTGCTTAGTAAAGAATGCTAGACAGTTACTTAGCAGGTCTACTCGGCTTAGTTGTTGCAGTCCGATACATGCATTCGAGGGATGGCCAGCGTGGAGCGCGTCTGTCCATTCCTCATACTGGCCAAGCTCAGTCGGGCTGGCAGCGTCGTCGTCTCGAAGATGAGACCCGTAGAAACTCCCCCACAGACCGCCTCGTAGCGCAAGAGGGATCGCGACACTACGCGAAGAACCAAGCGGACTTCGAAGCTATAGCGTATCGTACAAGGAGGACCTATAGGCCATGTGGCTATGACGCGTTGCGTGCGTGTGCAATTTGGACGCTGTGCGACTGGCCAACCAGGATTGACATCTTCTCGGGCCTTGTCAGGCGCCTCTGTTCAAGATCATTAGTCTTTGGTATCAGCGCCTCTAGTCACCCCGCGTCGGAGCATGCTCTGGGTGTAGTTCGGGCCTGTTTCTGCCCGAGTATGCTATTCCTCTTGTAGATTTTGCAAAGGCCGTAGCGATCGTTAGGAAAGCCGCTGTTCGCCGATGCTTACCACAACAAGCTTTGCTTGGCTCTGCCATGTCTACACAGAGCTTGTCTCTCACACGGCTACTCCAAGTCCACCGATAGAGAACTAGGAGACAACAGATCGAGGAAATAATTTGTGAATCGATGTCGCGAATCTGCTGCTGGCATTTGCGGGCATTTCTCGGTAAGGGCCATTATATTGAAGCATCGGGCTTTCGGGCTTTTCCAGTGGCTGGGAAGTGCTTAGCAACCTCCCATCGTTCTCCTCTGGATTTTGCATCAGGATACGTCCAGCTCTGTCCGAGCCTGGAAATCGAGGAGTCTTTGAGCGCAGAAGTCGCGCCGCACCAAAAATAATCCGCTTCCGACAGCCGTCGCCACTGCCACTGCCAAATGTTCGCAGGAGCGTCTGAAAGGAAACAGTCTCACATCAGCGAGCTTACCACCTCAGTCCCATCATGTTGGCAATTGAACAAAAAGTACCAACTTACGCGGTTGGTGGTCGTCAGTCAGCCAGCTGCTGCTCACCCATTCTTCTGTGCCACAAGCACCTCACGCTCAGAAGCGTTGATTCGTTATCCTTGCATTCCCGTTCTCTCCTAGTGCATACCAGAAGGAACATCTACAATACATACAGACACCGTATGTCGCGATCTCTTAGCTGCATCTACGAGCTCTTGATGTACATGAGAACCAGAGCCGACCAGAAAGGCACGCCATGTTCCACCAAGCTTGTTGACAATACTGTTGTCCCGAAAATAAGCAAGCTGGTGTTGTGGTTCATTGTTCCGTAGCTCCAAGGTCCCAGAATCCAGTCTCATTATGGCTTTGCACCGAAGTGGCGTGGTAATTTTGCAGTCGCTATGCACCTGAATATCTGTCTGCAACGCTGGAGCTGTCGTGGACGTCAACAAAGTCTTGTTCTTCACGCTGTCGTTGCCAGTATACGTGAGGCACTGCGTAGAAGCTACGGCGAAACATGAAGTACTGATGGTGTCGCGCATCATCTTGTGCCATGGGGGAGGCGACGCCGACATTTTCAGTCCTTTTGGGAGGCCTGTTACATAAGGCCAATAGACGACTAAGTGATCATCATGGTCCAGCCCGGTATCGCCCAGATAGTCGAGATGCGTTGCTAGCGTGGCATTGTCTCGTGTCGGAGGTGCCTCAGCTAGTATCGGTCTAAGCCTGAGTCAGGGAAGGCTAAGCCCAATGCATCGTGCAGAGTGATCCGTCGAGCATTGTACGTATGCAGGCTCACCTCGAGCCCGATCTTGACATCCAGGATCTGGGATAGCCGTGATGTGGATTTGCTAACAAAATCGAGCAAGCGCTCTTTCTGCGTCCTTCCTTTATCGAGCTTGTATGTCTTGGAGAAGCCAGGATTGACCCATTTGCCGAACGACATGCTCAACGACAATACATCTGGCAGATAGCGCCGTGGAAGCACTCCGAGCTCCACAATCTGGCTGGCGTGATCTTGTGCGAAGGCGACTGGGTCAAACTGAGTTGCGCTATCAACACTGAACTCAGTTGAAGGTGTTTTCGGAGCATGCTTGACTTGAGCGTTATTTTCAATGACGCTGTTAGTGTGTGCAGCAGTTGGCGTTCCAATGAGCAGCTTTGCACCGACGTCGAACGGGACAAGACCGTCGGGCAGCAATCCACGCCCATTCCACGTGGCCCATCTACCTTTCTCTTGCTTATGCAGGTCATTTATCTTGCGGATCCTTCCAGTCGCTGTGTAATGTATCGCAACTTCTCCTTTCCGTAGGTGATCTGTGTCCGGAGTTCGATACATGAAGCCATTTTCAACGTTGAGTGCCATGAGACGATCGAATTCGCCCTTGTCTGGCAGAGCGTACAATGGGCCCCAAAGAGCGGCAAATTTTTCTGTCTCGATTGCCAAACATAGTGCACGATCCTCATGGTTGTGCGAACCGAACACCCAGACTGGACCCTGTAAAAAGCTGTCCAAGCAAGACAGACGTCGACGGCGAAATGAGTAGAATTTCTCGACGAATTCCGGATCTCTTTGCACAAGGCTGTCAAATGCGACAGGATCGACTGACAGTTCACCACCTCCATCATGTACATGCGCCCCAGCGTACGATGCGGTGGCCAGCGTTGCAAAGGCAGTGAAGAAGCATAGGTACGACCATGTCCATCGTTTGGTACCTCCGGGCGGAATCAGATGGTCAAGTGAATTAGAAGGGCGGGCCAGCAAGGGCGCAATAGCTTCAGGTACGTCCTCTTCTAGTTCTCTGTGTGCTGTCAGAGTTGCGCCGATATCTGGGCTGTGAGTGCCCAACAAAACCAGCAGTGCTGAGATATCGCTCTGATCGAACTCAAACACCTCTGCAGTGTCCTGTCTAGTTGGATACTCAACGATAGCATTGATACTGCCTTGGCACATACCGCTATTCTTCAACGTTTGGATCGCCATGAGTACCCTTGTCAGCGCTTGCCGGATCACAAGCATAGACTCGATATAGCGAACTTGAGCAACGCCATTATCGATCGAGAAGAGGCTTTCGAGATCCAGTTGCGCGATGACTCGCTGTGTTGTACTCACTAGCGTCAAGGAATGAGCTGCTGGGTTGAGTATGGCATCGAGGTCATCGATGTCGCTCGAGGTGGCCAAGCTCTTGATAGGGCGGTCAGTCTTCGAACTCACTTGCTCGCCTTGAAACAGCGAACCCTGGCTGGAAGAGCGACCCTCGAACGACCAGGCTGCTTTCTCCAATCGTATCAGAGCTTTGGCGTTGACGATGGGACGTGTCGCCCTCTGTCCAACTTTCGTATACGGGCGAGTCTGGGCCCATTCCCATGCCGCTTTGGGCAAGACAAAAAACTGTGACCATTCATCGAAGGCTGCCTTCATGCTGTCCAGCCAACCCAATTCTCACGCGGTACAGCGTGCTGATTGCTATCGTATAAGTGCTTGTATCTGCCATCTGGACGGGCCTCCTGTATTGGAGAGTCCTTAAGGACTCCCTGCAAAGCGTCGACACCACGTGCTGGACCAGCAGAGCTCAGTCCACAAGAAAGCCGGACATATTCCGTGTCGCCTATCCATCTTGTAACAGGCCGGGTCAAATATTGAACGTCGAACATGATGGCGATGTTCAACAATTATGTTCGCACCTGGTGATTGTTTGTTGAAGGGCAGCGAAAAGCCCCAAGACGCAATCTTAGCCTTTCAATCGTGCCAATGCAGGTCGAAGTCTTGAAGCTGAAGCATGATGTGGCGCTTTCTATCGTTTGTCCCGCCTCAGCTGAGCTTTATCTGAGCCGACACACGTGAAAGAATCCGCATCCGCTGTTGTGACCAGCATCTGGGGACCCAATTGGCCCCGCGACCCTAGGCGATCTGGCTGTGCGTCCAACCACAGCGCGAGGATGCAGAAGGCATCGTACTCAAGGACGAGTGGTGCGTGCAGACAGTCATTTGTGACTGAAGTGTCCGGTCGGAACCTTGGGTCCAAGGTCTGCGGCCGCGAAGTGAGCACTTGGACAGCACGCAATGATTCTGTGCAAGTTCTAGTGTCTTTTTCTACACCTTGCCGATCGCTCATTGATAGCTTTAGCAGTGCGCACGACACCAACAGAGGTGCCGACCTTTAGAACCTTTAGAGATTCCCTTCGACCAGGCGGTAGACGTTGCTCGGGACCGCATAAACCGCTTGTCACTGATGCTTAACAAGTTTCATGCTCCCACTCAAGCCAGGCTTCAAACTAGCTTTCATGCCCTTCGCGCGAGTCTCCATATCCTTCAATTCCACCCGGTCCAGCTCCTCTTCCGTCCAACCCTGCAAACCATGAAACAAAGCTGCCAACAAAGACGACTTCCAAACCGCACGGCTGCTCTTCTCACTCGAGAGCACCATCGAAATCGACAACAGACCAATCGAGAACAGCACGATTGCACCAGGCAGGGCCATCCAGTGCCAGTGAACTGTAATGACAATGTCCGTGCGATGCGTCATGCCGTCAACATGGGTCCCGTTTGGAGCTACGCGGATAGAATTGGTCATGCTTTCGGCGACACGATCCATGAGCTGGCTAAATTCGCCACTTTGTTGTGCTGCGGCTAAAGCAAGTTTGGTGCTGTCTTCACCTACAACGAATTCTTGAGTCAAGCCGCCTTGGAAGATGAAGCTGATCGCACTTTGAATGTCGAACGTATTGCGATCGTTGATCAAAAAAACGTTGGGCGCCTGTTGGAACTTGGCGCCTAGTTCCGAAGCCTGCTTGGTCTTGATAGCCCGGTCCTCGGTCTCGCCTTCGTTGTCACCCTGTGGGCAGGTGTATTGAGGAACGTCCTTGTCCCGAAATGCAGGCCTCATGTCCGAGTAGATCTCATCGTACACATTCTCCTCGCGTAGTGTCCAAGTTGTATTTTTGAATGCGTCAGTCTCGTCAAACAGACCGCCGCAAGTCTCGAATTCGATAAAGTCGAGAGGCTCGGTCGTTGATGCGGGATCGGATAGTGTACCATTCTCCACGATCGTGCGCTCGTATGACTTTGTGCACCACTTGAGAGTGCACTCGATCACATCTTCCACGAGACTCTCCTCCGTTGACTGGCAAAATGCCTGCTCACGATCGTCAACCTTGCGAAAGCGTGTGCCGGCAACGACACCAATTGTTCCATCTTTTGTGAGCAGTCGATGACCACGCGGCGCGTCCGGGTCGGTCACCATGGCACTGGCGTTCCAGACTGTGCCTCTCCACTCACTCGTAGTGCAGTCATTGGAGCTTTCCATGGCAACACCACGGGGGCTGCGGGTCAAGCATTGTCTGTCAGACGCTTTAGGTGGATCGTAGTAATCGTTCAAGGTCAGAGTGCAGTTGGTCTTTGACGCTGCGGTCACATTAGTGCAAGAAGAGCATATGCCCAAGGACTCATATGAGGGCCAAGTGCAGTTGCCGGAGCTGCAAGCCACAGTGGATCGAAATACGTCGCCGAAGACACCTTTGTAAATGGCGCCTGCGATACTTGGGTCGCCCAGACCGACTACACAGTTGTTAAATTGTGGGGCACTGCGCTGCCAATAGACATGTTGCACTCACCCATTCTGATGGAAGAGGCCTGCAAGCCACCATCCGGCCCAGTCAAGTGCGTTCTGTAGCCCAGCCCGGTATCATATGCTTGAGCTGTGCTCAGATATGCCTTTGCAGTTGTATCGTTGAAGGTGACTGCATCATAGGATATGACTTGCTGGATGAAAGGATCCATACCGAGCGAAAGCAGCGTTATGATTGCTCCGACGGAAGCCAGCAGAGCAGTCCAGTTGATGTGCACGAGCAGTTTCGCAGACCCCAAAGGGCCTCTACTTGCGTCGTCAAAGATCTCGATGTTTCGAAGGGAACGCGGGCGTTGTGCGAAGTAGACCTGGGAGCTGTTCAGCAAGGACTCTGTCAGGACCGCACCATTCCACATCTTGTACGCACCCATTTGAGTTGGCCAATGCACTGACCAACGACCATGAGCATTGCGGATTTGGACAGGGTAGACAAAACGGCAACCACTGTATTTGGTCGCAGAATCGCCTTCCAGTCTGACAAGGGCTTGCCACTGTAGGCGAAAAGAATGCCAAATATCGCCAGCAAAGCTGCGACACTTGTCGCCATGCCCAGCACCTCAAACCACCAGAGACCTACGGACGCAGAGCTGGTGCGATGGCTCTGCCGCTCTTGGGTCTTGACACTGAAGATGCCGGAGTCGTTTCCGTGTAGCTCCATAGCTTCAGTATGGAGAAGCTGCTGCTTTGGGCCATCCCTGCGGTCATCATGACGGCGGCCGGACATCTTGTCGGCGGCAGGAACGAGACTTCGAGATTTGGACGAGGCGGGCAGAGGCCTCACTATCTGTAAGTCACGACAAGGCTGAAACTTGGCGACAGTAGCGGTGCGATGGCCTGGCGTTTGTCATTGGGAGGTCTAGATCCGTAGCGCATCCTCCCCGAAGCTTCCTCTTTTCTCACGCATAGACAACGCGACGTCTTTGCAACCGAAATCCCCAACTGCGCTGCTGTAGAGGCCTCTGCAGTCTTCTCACGGCGTGTATGGCATAGCGTAGCTCTGTTTGGGTGTACAGTCCCAATGAGAAGTAACCTGAAATAGAGCACCGTAGTGGGGGATTCTGGCGGTAAGACGTGCAGAGATGGCGTATCGGAAGCGCTGCCAAGGACGAAAGCGCATCCTGCGGCTGCTACAGTACGTCCAGGCGGCCTCCATGAGATCCAGAAACCAGTGGCATGAAGCACTCTCGCCAGTTGTTGTTTTGTAAATCCTGCTGGAGTACTGCCGTGCCACTCTCTTCCGTGGATTCCACTTGATGAGGCCGAGTCACATACCGCGTCCGCTCCTCCGCTTCGAGCGCCAACAATTGGTCGCTGCAACATTGGGAAATGATCGAGTTTCTGTACTCACAGGATCGGAACACATGCTTGAATCCGGGAGACTTCAAATTTCTGAAGCAGAAGAGGTCCGTCGAGACGGCCTAATGACAGGTTCAGCTCGAGCCTGAGGCCACACATCCCGAGCGTGGACACTGGCTTCAGGTCCTTCATGCGCTGGCTCCTGAGATTGTCAGCACATGCGATGTGCGAACGCTCGCCGTGCAGTACTCTGTGAACTTGGACGGTAATCACAAACGCGCGCTCTGTATGCGAGTGCACGTGACAAGCTCTTGGTGCGTCTCGCTTATTCATCCCTACCTATCCGCCCCACTTCCACTGCCGTTGCCGTTTCACACTTCACATCTCACGACGAGTTCTCACGGCCTTTGCGACTGTCGCAAATCACGTTCTGCCTGCAGACCTCTTGCTCTGCTCTCACGATCTGCACTCCAGATCCAGCCTGTGAACTCCTCTACCTCAAGTACGAGCACATCAGAGGAGCTGACGTGTCAAGTCGTGCCAGCAAGCCTGTCGCTCAGTCCGAAAAGTTAAACAGCTTCAACGCAAGCCACAAAAGCGCCATGCAGCGCTGCTTACCGCAACAGCTCCAAGCCTATGCCTTACACGTTCGTTGCACGTGGCAAGGCTGACGCGATTGTCGACGATTAGTAGCCTTGCTATCCAGCTCGAGACGGCACGCGTGCCAACTTTGTCACGATTCACGGCTCGCATGATGAGTCGGCCTTGCAGAAATGCCTGATTGACCTCGATCGATACACCACAGCTTCATGGTGCCAGGCTGAAACCATGATTTTCGTCAATGGTACTACAGGACGAAACCCGTACAACGAAGCTCTCGAGACGCTATCAAGCCTTCTTCCCACGTGCAAATGGCGGACTACTGGTGCATAAGCTTTGGCTTGTATGCAAGCCACATAATGCTCAGCCTGGTGGTGCACAATCTCGTTATGGTAGCACTGCGCAATACACCGTTCGCGAATGCAGCCACGATCATAGATCTCGGCGACGTCCTGAGCCGCAAGATGGCATTCTGCTCCACTCTGCAACTCGATGGCTTTCATGTCGCTGCGTGACTGGCAGGGCTGCAGGACCTGCCTTCACATGGCTTGTCCAGCCCTACGAGATACCGACTTTTCAGCTGCAGATTGGCAGACACTGAACACCGCTTGCTTCCCCGGTAGTTCGACTGGCCTCGATGCACGCAATGCTGTCGTGCGCCCCGATAGAGGCATCTGGTCGCAGCCGTGCAGCTCCCTTTTTCTGCCTAATCACCTCACGACGTAGAATATATGTAAGGACACCCTGGACGATATCTGCCTCCCCATCACTTCTGCTTCAAGCCCTCACTTGCACTTTCCGCTTGAGCTTTGCCTTCACATCGCACTTTCCTTGCCGTTACACAAAGTGACGCAGGCGCCTCGTGACGCGTCTTCTAGCAAACAAACGACATGGCGACCACCACGCAGCAGGAAAAACATGTCTCCCTCTCGAGCACATCTTCGCTGTCTAGCCTCGACGAGAAGCGCGCGACGACAATCACGACTTCCACGATGGCGGCTAGTCCTGACGCCATCGCCGACCCGGAGAGTCAGCTCGAGGTCGAGCCTGCCTGGAAGCCATCGAAGCAGGTCAAGCTGATCGTTCTCGGGCAATGTCTGGTGGTCTTCACTATCTCGCTGGACATGACCATTTTGACTGCATCACTGCCGGTACGTGCTCACTTCCCACTCATGACTCTCCAAAACTCAACGCTGACATCGTGACAGGCAGTCTCACGCGCACTCAACGCTGATGCGACTTCGACGTTCTGGATTGCCTCTTCCTACTTGCTCGCAAATGCCGTCGTTCAGCCGATCATGGCGGCGCTCGCCGATATCTTTGGCCGCCGTGGGACCATCTGCACCGCTGTGGCACTCTTCACAATTGGTTCCATCATCTGCTGCGCCGCAAACAATGTCGCCGGCATGCTCGCTGGACGCACGATTCAAGGAATAGGTGGCGGAGGTATCCTCAGTATCAACTTGATCATCATGAGCGATCTGATCCCTCTCCGTGCTCGTGCAAAGTATATCAGCTTGCAGCAATTCGTTGTCTCGATCGGATTCAATATCGCACCAGTTATTGGCGGTGCACTTGTGAACGCAACGACATGGCGATGGTAAGTGTTACTTATCGGATCCTCCTCTTGCCAAGACTAATGCATTGCAGGCTCTTCTACATCAACCTTCCCTTCTGCGCCATCGCACTCGCAATTGTCCCCTTCGTGCTTCGCTACCAGAGACCAGAGAGCACCATCCAGGACAAGCTCAGCTCCGTAGACTGGATCGGCTCAGGCGCCTTCATCACCGGCATGACTGCGTTCCTCGTCGGCGTCACTTGGGGCGGAAGCCAATATCCCTGGACCAGCGCCGCCACTCTTGTGCCCATGATCCTCGGTCTCGCCATCGTGTTCGTGACCGGGCTCTACGAACGGTGCTTGGCAAAAGTTAGCTTCCTTCGATTGTCACTGTTCCGGTCCTGGTCGGCCGTCAGCATCTACTTCTGCAGCGTGCTTCAGGCCATGTGCCTCTTCACAGAAGTCTACTTCCTTTGTCTCTGGCTCATGAGCGTGAAAATGTACAGCGCCACCGACGCAGGCGCATACATCCTCGCCTTTGGCCTGGTTTGCGTACCCGTCAGCGGAATCGTCGGTCCGGTCATCGTCCGAGTAGGAAGTTATCGCTGGGCAATCTGGGCAGGCTGGGTCCTCAACACAATGGCGATCGGACTTCTCACACTCCTCGATGCTGATATCTCAACTTACGCTTGGGTCCTCCTCTTTATCACCGCTGGCCTTGGACAAGGAATCCTCTTCATCGCACACAGCGTCGCTTCGCAAGCTGCTTGCCAACAAAAGGATGCAGGACACGCCATGGCAATGTACAGCTTCATGCGATCTCTCGGTCTTTGCTTTGGCGTCGCTCTCGGCGGAACGATCTTTCAGAATTTCTTGCAGCATCGTCTGACAGAGCTCGGCCTACCAGAAGCTATTGCCAAGAACTCCGAAGGCTTCGCTCACCTGTTGCACACCATGGCAGACAGTGAGCAGAAGAGGACCATCCTCGGTGCCTACGCGTGGGCTTTCCAGAAACTGTTTGCAACGATGTGTGGTATTAGCGGTGTTGGACTTATCGTGGCTGTCGTACTTATCAAAGGCCACTCGTTGAATCAGAAATTGGAAAGTGAGCACGTGTTGAAGCGCGGAAACACACGGAGGAAAAGCATTGAGAGTTTTGTGGCTCCAGTATAGAATACCTGTTGTTTCCACTTTACTTTCTGCGGGTTTTAGCGAAGGAGTTGGAGGCAGCGTTGAACGTTTGCATTTTTGGCATTGATTGAGTTTCTTCAGCACGCTATACAGCTACATCCAGTAGTAGCACCACAACACTCAACACGAAAGCTTTCCACCACGCTTCTGGAAAAGACTTTCCTCCAGCACCACCCTCCTTCGGCTCCTCACCTCCACCTCCACTCCCACTCCCACCCTGCTCCGTCAGAAACACCGTCTCCCCATTCCCAGCACCCGGATCCGGCGGCACAACCTGATCCTCCACCTTACAAACCTCCCTCTCCCCCTCGTCCGCCTTTTCACACCTCTCCCTCCACCCCTCCTCCCCACTCGAAGAATTAAAATAAGCCTTCACATACCCCACCATCAGCACCGCATCCCTCTCCGGCGGCCCTCCACTCCACCCCTCATTCCCATTACTCCAATGCGAAACATGCAGTGCCCCAGGTTGTCCCCTCGGCACATTAGCTTCCATCCTCTGAAGTAGAACGCTATTCGCGAAGAATTCCACATGAGAGGGAAACCAATCAAATCGAAACTCATTGAATCCCATCGTAGGATCAAAGGGGAGAGATTTGAGGATGAAATCTGGACCGGAAGCGTAGCCTTGTTTTGCGGATTGGGGGGATTGGATGACCAAGTTTACACTGCTGCTGCTGCTGCTGTTGTTCCTGTTTTCGTTTGTCGATGTAGATGTGAAGGAGGATGTTTGGCGAGAAAGAAATTCCATATCGATTTCCGTAGAATCATTGAAATAGAAGAAGAACGCCCCACAAGTTCCGTTGATATTCGTAGGCTTGAGTGCGATACGGAAAGAACCGTAGAGAATATCCGTTCGAGAGGAGACGATTTCGGACATGGGGATCATCATCTTACTATCTCCTCCTCTGCCCTCATGCTCATCGTCGTGGTCGTCGTCATCGCGAGAGGGAATCAGCGCGCTTCGAGTCCACAACTGCAATCCCGGATCTCCCCCATTCATCCCCTCCCCATCCCAGACATCTCTCCCACCTCTCACAGGATTCGTAATGACATTTTCGATCTGACTCGCTTTCCCATAAGGTCCATTCGCATTCTCAGGTGTGACATTATAAGCTTGAGGAATCCATGCGGAATCCGTATCTCGAGCCAGATCTCGCACGTGAAAGAAATCGGTTTCGAGGGCGTCGGTGAAGAAGGCGCCTTTGGAGGTTGTGTAGCCGCAAGCGCATTTTGCTGCTATTGTTGCACTTGGGAGGAGGAGGAGAAGTTGGGAGAAGAGGAGAAGTAGTGTTTGCGCAGGGAAGCGCATGGCTGTGGTATGAGGGTGCGGAAAACTCCGGTCGAGAAGAAGTTGTGTTGTATTGGAGGGATCGAATTGGTGGTCGCGGGAAGAGACAGATTCGTTTGTGCTTGTTCTTGTGTCGCGCTGGCCCAACTGAGGCTTACTCTGAGTGAACAGAGTGAGAAGCAACGACTGCCACTCGAGCGATCACATGCGCTGACTCGAGGCAAGTCAAGTCTGTTGCTCCCTTTGGTCGCAAGTAAACGAGAAAGTCAACCCGTCTCTCGTGTCACAAGGAAACACAAGCCCAAAAAACCCCTCGCTGTGCTCGCATCCACTCAAATTCGGTTCCTGCAGGTGTCCGCTGGGACCGGCGGCTGTAGTGCAACATATGTTTGATAAGAATAGCTGCCACTAATTGTAGAGAAGTGCTAGCTAATTGGTAACGCACAGCAAAAGCTGCAGTCGAGAATGAGACTGCAGCACAGAGAAACAACCCCGAACTGCCAGCTCACGGCATCCCTGCCAGCGAGACATGAGTATGCTCCTCTCCCGTCGTCTTTTCCCACGCGTGCGCCGTGACGCCAGTGCCGATTTCGACATCTTTACCATTCTCGCAGATCCTTCGAATCATCGAAAAGTGACACGTGTGACCCGAAGAAGAAAACAAAAACCACACCAGAAGCACTGTTGAGCAACCATTCTTTCTTGAATTTGTCATTACGTTCGTTCCATCGTCATCACCATCTCTCAAGGAGCCACGCCTTGTGCTTGCTTGTTCCGACCGACCTGGCGGGAGGATGTTCTAACTGATTATCCAGATAGCCAAAGATGATGTATGGAATGCTGTTGTGGGGTCGTCACTTTCCCCTACTTGGCCCAGACTCGCCGTCCATTCACGAATACCAGCCGCTCTTCGGACTGGGTGGACTCGAGCAAACCTCGCCTGGCTGGAATGGCACGGCGGATTGTGACTTCTTCGCGGATAGCTTAGGAGTCGAAAAGGAAGATGCTTCAGAAATGCTGCGCTCCCTGTTCTACAAGAAGCCAGATTCTGACAGCAGTCTGCGGTCACGTTAGCAATGTACTTCCATCACAGCGAAAAATTCAACTGACCTTGCAATCTTCTCGTCCTCACGCTCGCGGGGTTCCACTTGCAGACTGCGCTCGTACATCTCATGCACATCACCAGCGCTCTGCATGTTACGCAGAATGTACTCTTGCAACTCCGGGACAGGTTGCAGACCATACGGTACGTTTTGGTACTGCTGAATGTCCCGAATGACCTCTGCCGTCTTTGCGCGCTTGGCAAAGTTGATAAGCTGTGTCTTTTTGATGACACTGGGGATACCATCCTCGATGAAGGTCAGATCCGTCAGATAGATACCAAAGAATGGAATGCAAGGCGGATTTGCCTTGTGAAGTGCCTCTCGGTACTCGTTGAAGTTCTTGGTCGAGCCCATGAGTTTTCGCATCGACTCCAGAGACTGTGTCGTTCTAGCGTTAACTTGCGACCAGGTTCTATTCAGTCGGTGGATAGGCGCCGAGCCGAGCGCAGAAATGATGGACGTCAGGCATGAGAAGTTGTTGAGGCTTCGACACTTGTCAGCGATCATCACAAAATGCTTGATGACAACCACGCGCCGCTTGACGTCTGCTTGGGTCAGGATCATCTGCGCCACCCAATTTGTAAGTTGGTTGGAGTGGAGAATCAGGGCTTTGACGTTTTCAGCTGGGTCGGGATCACCTGGCGCGAGCTTCTTTTGCCAGGTCTTGTTCAAACACTCAGTGGGCTTAATTTTGCCGTAAAGTTTGGATTCGATGATCGTCAATTGCCGTGCAAACTCCAGCGCATCGATGTCGAGGAACTTCAGCTTTTTCATGTTCTTCGGAATGATTGGCTGAGGCGCCTGTGAGTTCAATGTCAGGACAAGTCGCTTGTTCGAAGCATCGTGTCCGCGCATTCTCTGCTCTATCGAGGTCATCAAGGGACCAGCGCCAGGCGTGCTCGTCGATTGCACAGTGTCCTTTGCAAATTTGAACACTTCTTGCATGAGTTGCTGGCTGACGTCGTCGCTGGGCTCCATCCAGTAGTTGTCAAACCACGATTTCAGGATGTTAACCACGCGAAATCGGATCGGCTTCTGCTTTTTGTCGATCCAGGTTTGAAGATCTTGGTTGGCAACGCCAGGTGGAGGCTGTATCATCCATCGTTTGACAAGCATCTCGAATAGTTCTGGTCCAGTGGTGAAGGATCTGTACGTTAACAAGAACGTGTTGTTGAACGGCGAATCCAGTCGGTCGTGCCTCGTAAGCTGCTCCACCAATCCAGTCAGCGTACCACCGCGAAGTTGGGGTGGGTCCGTCTTCGTGTCGTAGGCAATGTCGCCTTCGTGATCCAGCTTGAGGTAATTGGGCACCTCTTCCGAATCGCGCCCGCCACTGGTCACGGACATGTTCTCTGCGGGCACCTCTCCGAAGAACCGACTCGCCTTTGAGCTCTCGCCTTGGCGTTGCGCATCGCGCACTGGTTGGGTGCCTTCGGTGTACGAGCGCGATTGGCCAACATCAGCGATCGTTGGGCGGAGGCTCAGCGTCTTCGAGCTGTTGCGATGATGCTGCTCGAAAGGTGCACCACCGTCGGTCAGGCGATGCGAATCTCTTGGGGCAGGTTCTTTGCCTGGTGTGTCAGGTTGTTGAGCCTGGTCGGCAGGCATTAATTCCGATAAGAGTTGCAGTGAAAATTGAATCTGAGACGCGGCAGTGTCAAGCTCCCGTCCCACGGTTTTGACTCGGTTCAAGCGCTCTTCCAGCGAGGGACCTCTCACTTCAGACCATTCGTCGCTCAACGGAGCAGACACAGCTTGACACGCCACGATGAGATCCGAAGTCGAATCGTACAATTTCTGCTTGCGCTCCGCAAATTCGTCCAGCGATGGACTTTGCGTTGCAGAATTGAGAGGCGCAAGATTGATCGACTCAATTGTCGCCAAGTATGGACGGCAAACCTCGACGACCCCACTTCCACTTTTGCACACAGTGTCGCCAATCTTTCGATGCTTCTGAGGAGTGATGAGCTTGTCGCGAAGGATCAAGTGCTCGTCCAGCTTCTTGATGCTGGTGTTAATCAGCCGCTTCAAATCATCTAGCCGCTCCAGGAGCGCTTGATTCAAATGCTCGCGTGGCTCGAGCGCATTGTCTTGGTCGTCGTCCATAAAGGACATGTGGGCCAAAGCGTTCTTCCGGTCCAGTCCATTGGTTTGCCAATTTCCAGCAACATGGCTCCCCGTGACAAAGCCTGGAGTCAGCCTCGGTATCTCCTCGCCACGTTGTTGTCGCGCGATCTCAACAAAGCCGTAAACGCCATGCAAAACGCCCTCGGCTTCTTGCAAGCACTTCTGGGCGGAATCCGGCGCCGGAAAATCGGCAGCTGCAATGTGGGATGAAAGAACCAGCTTTGAGAATCTTGACATCATTTCTCTGAAATGCGGATAGAGAGCCTTGTTGGTCGAGATGATGGACGGATTGCCAGAATGGTTGTCGGTCGTGCCGGAGCCCGCCGCAAGGAGCAGGCGCAAATGGTCGGAGATGTCTTCTGCTTTCCGGACGTATTCTGATCGATCGCCTGCGTTAATGACTTCTCGATATCGTTGAACTGCGCGACGCATGTCCTCGATCATAGTATTCCACGTCAATGGAGTGGCATGCGCATCGTCAAAGAAGCGCCGAGGTAATAACGACGAGCTCGATGTGTGACCAGACGCATTAGCGAACGAGGGCATGGTCGCACCAACCGGCGCCATACCCTGCTGCATTGCCGAAATCGATGCGTTGCTTGCCTCTGTGAGATTTGTGCGAGAGCGGCTCAACGGCGAAGTCGCGTTCAGCGAATCCATGGACGTCGCAGGTGACACGCCGTCGGACAGGTATGAACGTCTGCGTCGCTGCTGACAGATAATCTGCGTTAGTGAGGTGGCACTCATTTTCTAGAAGACGCACAGCACGTGCAGGAGTGCAACTTACGCTGGAAGGGTTCGAACCTCGTGTCAGAGAAGCATCCTCTGCCTCTGACTGCGAAGCGTAGTCCGTGTCATCATCGCCGCCGTAGCCCGACTGCAGGAACTCCGCCGGAGGTCTGGTAATATCTGGAATGTAGATGTTCGTTCGATCTCGCGGCCCCGTTTCGTTTGATGAAGTGGGCGCTTCGAGAGGCAGCTCCATGGTGCTCTCACCAGTCAATGTGTTGAAGTAGAACAGCCGGCCGTCTGGTGTCGCCTGTGGAATCCAGAACGCGGCTTCTTCCTGTGACCGCGTCGCCACGTCTGAAGCCGGACGGGCAGTGTCTGGTCCAAAGTGTGTTTGATCATCGTATTCTCCGCCTGACTCTTCCGCGTCCGAATCGCTCCTGCCTGGCCTCGCGGTCCCATCATCGTAGGTCGGCGCGGCCACCATGGCGCAGTAGTTGCTGGGAAACCATCCTCGCACACCGTGAATCACACCGTCCCACCACCCACTCTCGAGCTGCGTAATGACTTGGATGATGTCCCCTTGGCGGAAGCTCAGACTGGTCCGGTCGTCGGCCTCGTAGTCATACAGCGCTCGCACGTACAACTGCCCACCCGTGCTAATGCTGCCCGCTAGTCCGCCGTTCATCTTTGCCGCGCGACTTCCTCCCGGCGGTCGCACCTGCGCGTGAGTCGCGTGTCCAGGCCAGCTTCAGCAGCAGCCAGTGAGCGCTGCGGCTGCCGGGTCGTGTCGCTGGCGGAGGTGTTGTGGAGGGTGCGGCGGAGGTCCTGCAGCG